GAACTCAGAGGCAACACCTTTCCTGCCTAGAATGTTAGCCATAGTGACTGCTAAGGTAACAACTCTCTATATAAATACTCCTATAAAGTATAAAATAGACACTCCTAGGTTACAAAAAACTTGGGAACATACGTAGCCAGCCTGGTCCCTCCACAAGTTCCAGACTATAGTTCTAATTAAGACTATGATCAATCAGTCGACAGGTATTTATTAAATGTTTACTATGTGCCTGGCAGCCCACATCATCAATTCATCCAGGGGCAAATAGATCAGCTGGTCACAAGGCAGTGAGATCTATCCAACCTGTGTCCAGATTAACCTATGATGCTGCAAGTAAAACTGAAGAAGTGGTTATATTAATGTTTACCCATGTAATAAGTACCTTGCATGTATTTGCATGTTCATTGACATACTATTAATTATTGCATGTCCTGAATTATGTTTTTCTTTCAATTATTTTGCTGTTTATTAGATTATATAGCAATGTCAGGCAAGTATTATGGGTGTATTTATTAAGTATTGCAGCTATATTTTTCTATTATGTATTGTAACATTGTTTCTTTATTCATTTATACATTAATGCCAAAGCATGTTCTGTGATTTTGTAGGACTATTGATATTATGTTGCTCTCACTGCTGTGGTAAGAGCGAGCACCATGCTTGAATGTAATTTAGACATGTAGTCACTGAAGCAGCCTTCCCATCAGCGCTTGGAGTCAGGAAGACCCAAGTTCCCTGAGTTCAAGTCCGGCCTCAGACACTAGCTGTGTGACCCTGGGAAGGTCACTTTACCCTGTTTGCCTCAGTTTCCTCATCTGTAAAATGAACTGGAGAAGGAAATAACAAACCCCCTCTAGTATCTTTGCCAAGAAAACCCCAGATGGAAGAGTTGGATACGACTGAACACACACATGTTCCTGTTGCATATACTGCTGAATATTTGCTATGAACAGCGTCCTGAGGTGATTTTCAGGGATGCTGGGAAAATCGTCAGTGTTTAAGTGTTGATATTTTACTTTGTTGCTTGGGCTGTACATTTGCTGATGTCAAATATACCTTAGCTGATTTTTCAAGGGCCTGCCCAAAGGTTTGGATGTGGAGCAGAGGGAGATGGGGATCAAGCTGCTTGCTAGTGGTCAGTTCGATTTCCAGGATCCTCTGAGGGGACCTTATTTATTTAAAGGCAAATCACCTTGAGGGCTTTGGACCCTGATCTTGGGCATGGGGCCTCTGAATAAGAGAGGCAGAAACTAAGCTGAGCAAAGAGGGACAAAGAAGCAAGTGGCAAGGAGGAGAAAATGGTTGGTGTGGCAAGCAGATGGGAGGTCAGGAGCTAGGAAGTTGAGGACAACTGCAAGCATGAACCATGTCTGTGGTGAGCCTTGCCCTGCTCTTCCCTTCTAGAAGTCCTTTCTCTTCTGGTGGCTACAGACTGTGACTGCTGCTTTTAAAACTGCTATCTTTGTAAATGGCATTGTTTTAAGTATTTTCTCAGTATAAATGTGAAATATGTGTTAAAACTGATCGTTCAAATCTCTGCTAATTCTGCTTAGCACCTGAGTGCTAATGGTCAGACTGGAAACAATGGATAAGGAAGCAGATTTAAAGTATTGAGATTTTATGAAACTTACTTCAGGTTCAAGCTAGATATTTAAATGAAGGTACAATACATCAGAGACAGAAAGACAATAACATTCAGGGTGCAATTCTTCCTAACACAAGAGCAGATAAGAAGCCCTCAGCTGCAAGAAGGCAAATCCCAGATATTTTGCATTGCCAGGGTCAGCCACGTTGGTTAGTTTGGTTTTAAAGGAAAGCCACACTCCTGAGGTCAGAGGGAGCTAGAAGCCAGCAGAGCCTCTACAAAAGGAAGAAGTTTCTTCCTACCAATACACTGACAATTCAGCCTGCTTTGCTCAGTAGAACATTCATATGCCAGTAGCATATGCCATTCATATGCTATTCACCCCAAGTCTTTGTGTGAATAATGGAAGGCTTTTTACCCAAGGATCAGAATTCCATATCATCATTGCCACAACTCAAATCTACAACACCTTTCATGCCCAGGTGAAACCTTAGATAGAGCATTTATTAAACACTCTATGCCAGGCTGTTCAGGGGGATTATTTCTGGATTATGGGGCATTGGGAAACTCAACCTCTCCCCCTTCAAAATTTGCTCTTCATGGGTACCCTAAATTTCATGAAAGCCATTCTCTTTAGCTATGCATTACTTTCTCCCATGACCTATTTTAATAGTCAGATTGTCACCAGTGCTTTTGTATATCAGTGCTGAGAAAGAACAAGGAAGCATAAGAACTAGGCTCTCGGAGGGATATTGCTGAAAGTTGGTAGAAACGAGGGGTGAGGCATGTTTAAGACAAACTGCTAATTTACCATTCTTTTCTGGAAGTCTCTTCTGTATATTTGTAGTATCCCCAACTGATGTATTTAGGGTTATGTTGCTACTAACTGTCTTCTCAGTTGACTGATATTTAGTTCATTTCTCCCAGGGTGTTTTGTAGGCCCTCAGTTGCATCTGATGCAAGTTTTCTTTGTGTTGGCTTAAGCATTTTTGAAAGATGGGCATGCTGGTCTTTCCCCTTTGTCTTTATTTCTGTTAGGATTAGCACACTTTAGGAACCCTATCCAATTGCCTGTCCTATTCATTATTTCCTCCAGGGACAGTCTTTGGAGTTTTGCCAAACTGACTAGCTACTCACCTAATGACAGCTAGGTGGGGTAGTGGATAGAGCACTGGATTTTGGATCTTGCTTCAGATGCTTACTAGCTGTTTGACCCTGGACAAGTCATTGTTAGTCTCAGTTTCCCCATATGTAAAATGAAGATAATAATAACACCCACTCATAGGTTTGTTGTGAGGATCAAATGGCATTTTGTAAATCTTAAAGAGCTGTGTAAATGCTATTATTATTCTTACCTATTCTTACTCTTACTTATTACCACTTAAGAGAATGAGAGCAACTCAGATCACAGAAGTCAAAGCATTATCGTGTTAGGCATTCAGACTTAGTTCAATGGCATTATTTTATTTTGAATTGGGCAATATTTTATAGTATTTAAGGGACATATGGTTTAAATATCATGAAAGCTGACCCAGGGTTACCTCCATGTTATGCTAAGACAGCAAGGTAAACCTTTAGTGGAAGTCTTCTATACAAGTGGGGCATGAATCAGAAATTCTATTATTTGGAGCCTTCTGACATTACTCAGCTCCTTAGACTTTGATTGGCTCTCCAGATGAGTGAGGAAAACCTAAGGTAAGGTGGAAAGTGGTCAGGGTAGTTTAGCGTGTGCCCTCATTCTGAATAAGGAAAGACTCTCTGCCCCTAGGGTGTTGGAGCTAAGGGGGAATGTGAAGGTGGAAAGCTGCTCTGGAGGAGTCAGGAAAAAAGTCATTCTCAAATCATATCTAGTAAGAGTCTTAGTCCTGTATGGGAGAAGCAACTTAGCACAATGGATAGACGTATGCTAGTTTTGTGACCCTTGACAATCCACTTAACTTCTCAGTACCCCGGCTATAAGCTAAGACTATTTGGTGGGTGGAGTTTGCTCACTGGCTTTTTCCTACATCAATAAAATCATACATTAGGTTCTCCCCTCCCAAATCTTGTTCCTCTATGATTAAGTGAGATCCCTGAATACCTAGTCTGTTCTGGATGCCTTTTTGTTATTTTATATTGTAAGCTCCTTAAAGGCAGAAAACATGTTAATGTAGCTTCCTCTGGGTTGTAATATGAATAGAAAAAGTTTGACAATTGCTTTGGGTAATGATGAAAATGAGGATGACGATGGACATTATGCCATCCCAGAAACATTTTTCAGTCTACTTATCAGTATGGGCCTCTAGGATGCAAAGTAAATGGATATTTGAAAATGTGGATAGAAACAGAAAATCCAGTTGGGACATCTGCTTATTTCAACTAATGCTGGCACAAGTAGGAAACACTGGGTAGGCTAGTAGCATCATGAGCTGAAGAGACTATCAGGTCAGCTTGAACTATTGTCCTAGGTACAATTTGGCCCCCACATTATTCCTCAAAGTTCCTTCAATTGACTGTGGCTACTGTGCTTTTTCTTGGAAGTAGCTTTATGCTGCTTGGTATGGAGCATCAAAGGCCAAATTATCAGCTAGATAGAGCTGACCATGGTGCTTGGAGATGGAAGACACCTGGAATTATAACCACCTCTCAATTCTCCGTGATAAGGGCAATGGGGAGAAAGAAGAAAGTATGGGCAGAGTGGAGGCACAGATAATTAAAATACATGGTCATTCATTCTTATGTCCTCCATTTTAATCAATAATTATAACTCTCATCTAACCAAGCCTTTTACCAGAAAGCTGTGAACAAGGAGCAAAATGGGGAGATTTGAGAATCATTTGCTTTCCTGGTTGTATAGGGTGTTAAGGAGCTCTTGTGTGGTCGGAAGGTGGGCAGCGGCAACAGTAGTAGAATGAAAACACAGCCAAACAAAATCAAGCCTTTCTGACAATTAAGAGTTTGCTGTATGTTATGAGTGGTCTATGTATAATTGATGTATGGGGAATGCCATAGGCCCAGGGAGGCCTGGGGTGATTGGGGTGAAGAGTGTTGACTTGCTAATACCTAGGCATAGCCCTGCTATAGTCATGGTTTAACCTATAGGCTCCCCATGAGTAGAGGCCCTTTGTTTGCATGGTAGAAAATGGGTATAGAAGGACAAATTTTGTGTCTCCCTTGTAAGAAGTAGCTTTTTACAGGAGGAACTTGTCACTTTTGCATCCCAGTTCAGGATCACTGCAGGCATTAGCTAAGATTCCATTCCAGGGACCCCACAGTCCTGTTCCAAATTTAGACAAATTTAGGGTTGGCTCTTTGGGTGGTCCTTTCACTGCATATTTCTGCCTCCCTTCTGCCTCATCACACCTATCTCCCCTCTATCCCTTTCCTCTAGGCATATGATCTGAAATTAGATGACCTTTTTCAAAGGCCTGCCTACCTTGGGTTTGAATGCAATGAGCTTCAGGATCATCTCCACAGTGAACAGGCCGGTGAAGAGCATGTTGAGAATGTTCATAGCGATTTTGAAAAGACAGCTCTGACCGTAGTGCTGGGAGGAAGGAATTCCCAGTGTACAGTGAGAATGGGACTGAGATTCAGGGGGGGGAGTCTTTGCCTTACCCATTCTTTAGCCTAGCCTTTTCAGAGTTTGAGCCTTACCCCAAACAACAAGAACAACATTTAAAAAAACCCTCTAACACCATTTTCACACGCCCAAAAGGGCTGGTCCTGTATACACTGTATCTTCCAGTTTACAGGTAGATCTCAGAGCTCCTTTCTGTTTCTGATACCACTGAAAAACCTGAAGGCCTTAGTGGCCTTGGGTCATAGCTTTCCTTCTTAGATTGGCAAGGAAAAATATGATGGAGACCCCAGCAACTATTTCCCTAATATCACAGAGAGCCTTAACACAGGACTCTGCATTCTGGCTAAAGAGAGGGGTTGGTGAGCTAGAAAGGACCTCAGATGTCATCTCTTCTAAACTCCTCATTTTATAAATGAAGGAACTGAAGCTTACAGACTTGTCCAAAGTCACAAGGTGGTAAATAGTAGAGGTGGGATTTGAACCCAGGTCCTCCAACTCCAGAGTCTGATTTCTTTCAAAATGGCATCTATATTCCATGCCTTGTTAATAGCAATGAATGTATGGGCTAAATTAATAATCTCCCTGTTTTCCCTGCCTCTTCTCAAACTAGGGGTCCTTCAATGGGACATACTCTGGGTAAGGGTCATATCCTTTTCAATGGAGCAGTCAGGGCTGTGGGTAAGAGAGCTGCTATTCTCCATTCTTCCTTTTGGCTACCAATTGAAAAACTAACTCATGAGATACACATAGCTTTCTCATTTCTGTCTCTTCCTTAGCCTCAGGGAATAGGCCACAGCCCTTTCAGGTTTTCCGCACCTCCCACCCTACACTTACCTGCATGGCCAAGCAGATGGTGTTGAGAAGGATGAGGACGAACATCAAGTACTCAAAATAGGTGGAATTGACAACATACCACACTTTGTACTGGTGCTGGTTCTTGGGGATGTACCTTCTCAAGGGCCGAGCCTTGAGAGCATACTCGACACACTGTCGCTGTTAGGAGTAGGGGTAGGGGGATGGAAGGGACAAGAGGTGGGAGAAGAAAGGAAAAGAGAAGTCAGTCAGTGAGGCATGGAATGATAGGAGAGGAATTGGGGGGTTGGGCATGTGTTCAAATCCCCAGGTTTTATGGGAAACCATCACTGACTATTCCTGTTGTCAGAAGTGACAGTAAGTTGACCCTTTTGCTTCTAGTTTCTATCTTTCATACGTGCAATGCTTTATTTTTATAGCATCTTTAAGATTTAATTTTTCTTTTTTAAAATTTCATTTTATTTTTAACTTATGAAATAAAACAAGCTAAGATATTGTTTGATAAGACCAAAAAGACAAAAGTAATAGCCTCCTTGTTAATTCTTCTCTTTGCCATAGTCTCTTCCAAGGGCATACAGAACACTTTCCTTTCTTTTTTTAAATCTTTCCTGTTTTCTAAAGTCTGCAACCAAAGAAAACACTCCCAAACCACTGACAGGTGATGAGAAGAGATTACTTTGGGACTAAATCTTTGTTACTGTAGTTAGCAAGATCTTTGGCACCTCTGCACAAATATATTTTAATTTCCATTTCTATGCCATAATCCTGAACCTGTGGCAAGATTGTTGTTTTTTGTTTTTTTTTTTAACCTCCTCACCCAATCCCTAATATCACGTAATATTTCTTCAGCCAGTTGAATTCTTATCAACATTAGTTGCTCAATTTCATCTCTCTACTTCCCCCTCCTTCCCACTCCTGCTTCTCTCCCTGGAGAAGTTCCATGTTTCTTGGTCAGCACGTAGCTCTTATACTCCCAACCATCCTCAATGGGAGAGTTTCTATCTCAGTCTTTGGGATTGGAATATCATACGCTCAAGTTGAAACTCTTTCTCCTTGGTCTTGGGCAAAGGTTTCTTTTTTTTTTTTTTTGGCTAGGCAATGGGGTTAAGTGACTTGCCCAAAGTCACATAGCTAGTAAGTGTTATGTGTCTAAGGCCGAATTTGAACCCATGTCCTCCCGAATCCAGGGCCGGTGTTCTATCCACTGCGCCACCTAGCTGACCCTTGGGCAAAGGTTTCTTAAATCCTCTTTCCTGCTAAGAGACATAATTTCTCTCTTCTCTCCCCAACCTCAACTCATTGGTATTTTTACTTGATAGTAGCAACACTTCTCTCATAGCTGGCTGAATTATTATTTCCATCTTTCACAAACTGCTTACTCCAGAAAGCCATCCTTGATTACCTCAACTGGCAAAGATCATCTCATTCAGAGCTCACATCATACCATATTTTGTTTTGTAACTCTCTAATGCACTTGTTGGGTAGTACAGTGTATATTTCTGATGAAAATGCTTGTGCTATTGAAAGTGAGAGTCACCAGCTTGGAGATCAGATCCCCCCCCAAAGAGTTTGGTGTACTAAAGGTGGAACATCCCAGAGAGACCACGGAGGCTGCACAGGTCACACTTTTTAGGATTCTGGCTAGGAGTACTTCTTTCCATATGATTAGCATTTTTCACTATTTATTAATTTTTTCCATTTATAAACATGTTCAAAACACACGTCAAAAGATCTAGATATAGGTGTGCTTCATTTTCTCATGTCACATGTTTCAAGTTAGACACCTTAAATTTGAAAATTTAAAAATAAATCCATCTGTGCTATGACTTTATAATATTAAAGTTATTCTGGGAAAGGAGTCTAATTTATGTACACTGGGTAAAAGAACTTGACTTTAAAAAAATATGAATGTTCAGTTCATTTAGTATGTTTAGCTTAATCTAAAAAGTTTTGCAATTTTGTTTAAATATAAGTATGTTTGCTTAACTATTTTAAATTTCATCTGTTGATCAGTTAATTTTTGTCGTGCAGTCTACTTCATTTGTGTTAAGGTATATTTCTATCATAAATACTTGGTTTTTGTTCAGTTTTCTTCCATTTTATTATAAAAGAAATCTGATGATGTAATCTTTTAAGATATATATATATATATATACACACACATATATGCATCTATCTATCTATCTATCTATCTATCTATCTATCTATCTATCTATCTATCTATCTATTTCTTTATTTATTTAATGTCTCATTCCTCCACCAGATTGTAAGTTCCTTGAGGGAATGGACAAAGTCTAACCTAAACTCTGTATCTTGCTTAGTGCTTGGTATAGTGTTTTGTGATCAAGTTGCTTAGTAAATGTTAATTTGTTGTTATTTGACAGTTCTTTGGTAACTCTTTCCTTCCCACAAAGATTTTGTTTCCCTTTATTTTCTGGTGCACAAGGTTTTTCCTTAATAATTGTTTCTGTGACTCCTTTCTCCTTCCCATCTGTATCTACTCCAAGACAGAGCTGACAGTTAAATGGCAAATTTGGTGACTTGCAGGAGTTTGCAATTCCTTTGCATATTGCTTCTCAAAGGGAACCCCCTTCCAAAAAAAAAAACCTTTAGCTTTTTCATAACAGAAAATAGAAGAGATTATTTTAGTGCTATTGTTTCTCTCTTCTGTCACTTCTCAGAGTGGAAGTAGGGTCATAGGATTGAGTCTGGGAGGTACTTTAGAGATCATCTATTTAGCCTTTACAATTTACAGATGCAGATCCTAAGGCTAAGAGAGGTTAAGTAACCTGTACAAAGTCACACAGGTAGGAAATAAGAACCCAGATCCTGACTCCAAGCTCAGTGCTTTCCCCACTGTATGGTGTTACCCACCCTACTGTATATCTTTTCCTTCTTAGCAGCCTCTCTTGCTTCTTGACTTGAACTATTAACTACACTTTCCTTCCCTCTCCTGCTCTCTTCTTCTTCCCTTCTCCCTTAGGGGGCTACCTGGTTCTTGTCCAGTTCACAGTTCTTGTACTCCTGTTCTCCCTGCTCCTGGAAGGTGACAATGACGAAACCCACAAAGATATTCATCATAAAGAAGGCGATGATGATGATGTAGATGATGAAGAAGATGGAGATCTCTACTCGGTAGTTGTAGATGGGTCCCTTATCTTCAGTGTGTGAGTCGATGGATCGGTATAGAAGCCTGGAGAAAGAGATGGATCCCACAGAGTGAAATGGAAAGACAGTATCTCTCTGAGGACTTATGATGTCCTTAATGCTAGGGATACCTCAGAATTGGAGTTGTGGACGTTGACTCCAAAGTTTTGTAAATATGGAAGGAAACTTATGAAAACTGGTGTGAGCCAATAGGCCTACAACTTAAAGGGAATGAGGCTGAGTCTAAAAGAAATCAGCTTGTGAGCAAATAAGGATTTACATAAAAATGACAATGTGATCTTGAATGCTTATATCATACTTCTTTAGAATGCTAACTATGGAGTTGTTGTTATGCTTTATGTCAATGCTTTCTAAATAGTATCCCGTGGAGTATGAATAGGGTTTCCATAAGAAAATATTGATGCCAGCAGCATTTCCCTTTCTAAAATATTAATGAGGAAATTATGTTATATAAAAAATATTTTTTCCTGTGCAATTATGAAAATAGGTTTAATTCCCTTTCTTTTGTTTAAAAGTTCTTTAAACTTCTCTTTATCCTGGGGACATTTCATAAACTCAGGCTTCCTGGACCAGCATTTTTTTTTATGTAAATATATTTTAAGTCCCAAGAAAGTAGCATGGTATAGAAAAATGAGTATCTTATTTGGAGTCAGCCTACTTGGGCTTTTGGCCTTCTGACACTAGTTGTATGTCTTCAGGCAAATCATTTAATCTCTCTGAACTTCAGCTCCTTCATCTATAAAATGGGGATAATAACACCTATTTCACAGGGGTGTTGTGAGAAATAGTCATTGTTAGCTAGAAGTACTACATAAATATAAGTTATCAAATAAGGGAAGTGCTGCCTTATACTCTTATCTTTTTATTTACTTTGCATCTGTGTTATCACCTTGAGTAAACTCTAAATTTTATAAGAGTTGGGACTTTGCCCCCTACTTCCTTTGTAACTTATCACAGTGCCTTGTACTCTGTAAACAGTGGGCATACCGTTGATGATGCCAACTACTGGTTTCACCACTACCTGAGCTGCTACACCCTAAGTGAGAGACTTGCTGAAGGTGGGGGGAGGTGGTGGGATATGTGGGCTAATTCTAAAAAGTTAGGAAGAATCTCTTCTTAGGTCCCATCCTAACCTCACCACACAAATAATGCTAACTTTTCATCCAAAAATCTATTTTTTTGCCTTAAAAATATCTGCATATTTGTTAAAAAAGTCAATTTGGAGAGGGGTTAATATTAGAATAAAAAGGGCAGGTGGCCAAATGGGTCTTATTCAGACATACTATTAAATACTTTAATGGGAAAGCTGATAGAAAAAGATACAAAGCCTGTTCGGTACACTGTTCTCCTAAAAGTGTTTGAATACCACTTCTCTTCTATTGCTAGTGTAGAAGGTGGGGAGGCTCAGAGGTACGTTATTTTAGTGAAGTAACATTTCAACCCTTATTATGGTAACCTATTGAAGGATCTCTTGTTAATCGTGGTGTCTTTGAATGCCAAAGGATCTACAATCTAATGAAGTTTCTATGTAGAGGGCATGGTTATCCATGATCTCTGATCTATGGCCGTCTTATAATTACATCCTAGACTGGGATGAGAGTCTGATAAAAACTAAGGTTATATCTAGGATAGTAACCACCTTCCTGGATCATCAACTAATTACTGACTTGTCACAGAAACTCAGAAAGTGTTGAAGTTAAAAGGGATCTATGAGAATTCATCCAGTCCCCTTATTTAAGGGATGAAGTTTAGAGAAGTCAAATGATTTGCCCAAACACAAGCCTTTTTGTGGCAGAGCTGAGACTGGAACCTAGCTGATCTGACTCCAAGTTTGGTACACTTTCCACGATACCATGCCTTTTACCATAGACAATTTGTATACCTGAAGCATTACTCAGGAAAGTGCTGGGATAGGGTCCCTACCGTAGAGTAGATGATTTATAAAGGATATGAGTATGCATGGCCCAGGAAATGGTATGGTCAGGAGACTAAGGCCCACTTTCATCTCTGGGCATCAAAGCTGTGGGCACATTGGTTTTCATACTCACTCTGGCCACCCCTCAAAGGTGGAGACAGTGAAGAGGGCCATCATGGCAGTCAGGACATTGTCAAAGTCAAACTTGCTATTTTCCCAACTTCGAGGCTGAATGATGGGATGATCTACCTCACCATCTTTGTATGTGATATAGTTGCCCCTGAGAAAGGAAGGATAAGTTAGTTCATTTATTCAATCAACAAATACTAATTAAGTATTTACTAAGTAGTAGGAGATGGGGATGCAAAGACAAAAGAAAAAACCACAATGACCATACTTGAGACAAGTGACTTGGAGGGATACCTCACCCTTCCCCACCATCTTTGTCAATGAGCCCTGGGCAATGAACAAAGTCATTAGACTCTGGAGACTTCTGAGTTAAAAAACAGACAGCTGTGCATGGGAGGCAAAAGAAGCTTGTAGCTGCCCATAATTGGTGATTACTTTTCCAAGTTATGAAAGTGTTACTATATTCTCTGGAACTGTTTGATTGTGGTTGTCACTGTGGTTTAAGACCTGGCTTCTGGTTGTTTGTGTTGGAGCCTAGAGCATTTGTTAAGTGTATGAAATGAATGGGAATACGCTATTGGCAGAAGGAGTGAAATCACTAGCAGGTGAGGCTGTAACAGGAAGAAGAGTAAATAAAAAGAGAGAGGATTGTATGGGAACTAAGAGTGAATGTTAGTGTCAAAGGTGATTCTTCTGGCACAAATCCCTGGGGGCTTGGGTTTGTCCCTATGGTGTGCCTTAATTTTGGAAGCACAGAACAAGTAGATATTAGGGCTAGTTGGAAGGTGGTGCCATCTGCCTCACCTGAGACTATATGTGGCTTTGAGTCTCCACATGCAGTGATATCAGCATCTGGGGACACCAATGACACAGTTCTGATTATTGTGATATCTGAGTATCACAGGTCTGAGAACCCAGTTGTTTCCACATAAGAAAAATGATTTGGGGGTGAAGCATTCAGACCCCAAACTTGGCAAGTGGTTGAACTTGAAAGTGCATGTGAGTGGGTTTGTAACAAAAGCATGCTAGGCATCTATACCTCTGTTGAGCAGGCTACACAAATTTCTAAAATGCCAGATCAAACAGCAAAACTTCTGTGGGTGGGACATACAGTAGTCAATGGGTTCCATGTGATGTTACTAGGGATAGATTCCCAAATGGGGAAAAGGAAGAGGTCTATTGCAAGCCACATTGCTCCTGGAGAAAGAACAGGATGTTCTTCCCCCAGACTCCCATCTTGGGCCATCAGGCACATCTTCTAGGGCACACTGACCTTTGGGTTGACTCCATACTGGATTGTACTCACTTGCATTCAGCCTCGGTCTGTTTGGAACTGTCTGTACAGGTGTAGAGTTTGCCCTAGAGGATCAAGGGAGATTTTAATCAATCCACAGGTATTTATTGAGATATGTTGATGGATAGTTTTCAGTATCATGGAGATACAAAATAAATCAGAGCTATAAATACATGAGGAATTCAGAAAGAGAAAGATGATCAGCATAGGCTGGCCCAGTAAGGAAGCCATGGAGAAGTCACTAGTACTGGGCCTCAAAACATAAGTAAGATTTGGATAGAAGTGGTTTTTGGATGGAGGATTAAGATGAAAGGATTATAGAGGAACAGAATCTTAGAGTTGAAATGGATTTTAGACACCACCTAATCCAAGAGCTCTTAACACAGGGCTTTGAACTTGTGCCTAAAATATTTTGATGAGTATATTTCAATATAATTAGTTTCCTTGCAAATCTATTTTATTTTATGCATTTAAAAACATTATTCTGAGGTGTCCATAGATGACCATAAATAGCTAGCTAGAACTTATATAACGTCTTAAGTTTTGCCAAGTGTTTTATGAATGTTATCTCATTTAATCCTCACAACAACCCTGAATGGTAGGTGTTATTGTTATCCCTATTTTACAGATGAAGAAGCTGAGGTAGACAGAGGTTAAGTGAAGTGACTTACTCAGGGTCACCCAGCAAGGCCAGATTTGAATGCAGGGTCCAGTGGCCTTTTCACTGTGTTACTTAGACTGCTTCTAGGGGTTCCATGATGCAAAAAAGGTAAGAGCCCGTAAGTGAACAAGAATCCTCTCTACAACATTCCCAAGAAGAGATCAAGCAGCCTTTATTCCAAGATCTCTGGTGAGTGCAAAGTACAGCCTTTGGAAAGCTCTTATTATTAGGAAGTTTCTTCCTTTTATCAAGATTAAATGTGTCTCTCTTCAACTTCCAACCCGCCATTCCTAGTTCTGCCTTCTGGGGACAAATAGAATAATTGAAATCTCTCTTCCCCATGACAGTCCTTCAAATACTTGAAGACGGCTCTCATGTCTCAACCTCTCTCCTCCTGAGGCTGCTTTTCTTCAGACTAAACATTTCCTGTTTCTTCAATCAATCAACAAGTATTTATTAAACATTTTCTTAAGTGCCAGTTGCTGTGCTAAATGCTGGAGATGCAAAGAAAAAGGAAAATCAGTCCTTGCCCTCAAGGTACTTATACTATCATTTTCATGGTATTTATATTATCACATACTTGGGGGATACAAGATATATGCAGAATGGACGGAAGGTTCCCTTAGAGAGGAAGGCACTGGAAACTGGGGGACTGGGAATAGTTTCCTGCAAAAGGTGGCATTTAAGATGTCTTTTTTTTTTTTTAGGCAATCATGGTGAAGTGACTTGCCTGGGTCACATAGCTAGTAAGTGTCTGAGGCCACATTTGAACTTAGGTTCTCCTGTCTTCAGGGCCACTGCTCTATCGACTGTACCACCTAGCTGCCCTAAGCTGAGTCTTAAATGAAGTCAGGGACTCTGAAATGGGGAAGTAAGCAGGGATAGAATTCTAAGCATGGGGGATATTAATGCAAAGATCCAGAGACAAGGAAGGGACTGTTCTGTGTGAAGAATACAGCAGGTAAGTCAGGTTGGCTGGATTGGAGAGGGTGGGGAGGGACATTATGTGTGAGCACACCAGGAATATGGGACAGAGTCAGGTTATGAGGAGCTTTGAATGTCAAAAGAAAGGAGTTTATTTTTGATTCTTGAGGAAACAGGGAGCCACAGCAGTTTTGAGCAGAGAAACAACATGGTCAGAACTATACTTCAGGAAAATCCCCTTGGTAGTTGTATGGAGGATGAACTGGAGTAGGGAAAGACTAGGCAGAGATATCAATTTGAAGGCTATTGTAATAGTGCAGGTAAGAAACCTGAGGGTCTGAACTAAGGGATGGCTATGTAAATGGAGAGAAGGGGACATAAACAAGAGAATGTTGTCAAGGTAGAAATGATAAGACTTGACAGCAGATTGGATATATGGGGTAAATGAGAATAAAGAACTGTGGATGTGGCCCAAGTTTTGAACCTGGGTGACTCAGATGATGGTGGTGATATTGACAGTAATAGAAAATAACCCTACAGATGTGGTTTGACTAGGGTGGAGTAGAGCTGGGCTGTCGTTTTTCATGTTTATGTTATACCTCTCCTCATGTAGTTTAAGATTGTATTAGCACTTTTGAGTGCCATATCAAACTACTGACTCATGTTGACCTTAAAATTTATTGAAGTCCTCAAATTGTTTTCAGATGCAGTGGTATCTGATCATGCCTTCCCCACTTACACTCATGAAGTTGATTTTTTGAACTCAAGCATAAGACTTTAACATTTATCCCTATTGTACTTCATCTTATTAGATTTTATAGAACAATCTCGGTGGTCAAAATCTTTTTGTCTCCTGAATCACTCTTTAGACATGGAAAAAAGCATGGATTCCTCTGCCTCCAAATTTTCTGTAAACTTGATAAGTATGTCATCCATGCATCTATCCAAGTAATTGAAAAAATGTTAAACAGCAAAGGGTCACACAGATCTTCAGGGCACTTCATTAGAGACCTCCTTCCAAGGTAAGATCCAGATACTAATGACTCACTTTTCTTAGGTCCATCCATTTAACAGCTCTGAATTCAAATAACTGTACTTTTGTGTAGCCCACATCTCTCCTTCTCTATAAAAAATTGAGTAGAGAATTTCTCAAAATTTAACAAAATCTAGATTTTGTTAAAATCTAGATAATTAAAAAAAAAAGGGGAAAATCAAGTGAGTCTGATGTGACCTGTCTTGATGAAGCCATGCTGGCTCTTTGTCACCACTGTTTTCTTGCCTTAATGTCACTACCATCTCCTTAATAACATATTTTCAAATTTTGCCCAAAACTGAAATCAAACTCACTGGCCTATATAGGTTGCAGATTTACTTTCCTTTTTTTGAAAATTGAGAGAACATTTGCCCTCTACAGTACTGTGGCTCCTTTCCTGATCTTCCAAAGATCACAGTAATCTCATCTGCTAGTTCTTTCAGGAACCTGGCCTAGAGACTCAAAATTATCATTAACAGTTAAATGCTCTTTTGAAATCCTGGGTTTCAGCTCCCTATTAGCCATTTTTACTCTATTCCTTTACAATCAAAAGATTATTCTTCTTGGCAGGAAAAAAAATAACAGAATCAAGATAAGAATTGAGTTTACAACAGCTGACATTTACATAGCATTTTAAACTTTCCAAAGTGTTTTGCATACATCATCTCATTTGAGCCTTATAATAACCCTGTGAAGTAATTACTACTAATAATAAGTATTAATTAGTACTTATCATCCATTTTACAAATGAGGAAACTAAGTGCTTTCCCCATGGTTTCACAGCTAGTAAGTATGAAGGGACTGGATTTGAACCCCAGCCTTCCTGATGCCAGGTCCAACACTCTGTTATATGACTCTGCCTTCTTTCTGTTATCTCTTATCTTTGGTCTAATCATGCCAAACAGTCCTATCTTTTCACTGATCTCCCCTTTCTCCTACAATAAAGCTCAATCCCCTTTCTGTTTTGTTCAGCTTTCCTTCCTTATCCACGTTACCCCATTCTAAGCTTTTGAGCTCGTGGTGATACTCTTCTTACATGACTATACCTTATTTTAAAATTCATTTTCAGTAATCTACTCTTCAGCCTTTTATATGTGACTGCTTTTAAAATCTAAGTAGGTTAGCCAGGCATGGTGGTATATACCTGTAGTCCCTGCTCCTGGTGAGGCTGAGGATAGTGGATTACTTATACTCAGGAGTTCTGAGCTACAGTGGGCTAAAGTTTGATTAAGTGTCTACAATAAATCTGACATCAATAGGGAGAGTCTCTGGGAGCAAGCGGCCACCATATTGCCTAAGGAAGGGTGAACCAGTCTAGGTTAGAAAGCGTTAGGCCCGTAAATGACTGGTGTACTTCCAGGCTGGTGAGAAAGGGTCTTAAAAAATAAAATAAATATATTTTTAAAAAATCTAAGTAGGTTAATGAACCCCTGTGTAGACAATTTCAGATTTTCCTATCTCCTCTCTCTTCCCCTTAGAAGGTAGGGAGAGGGGGTAGGTGGTGGGGAGGAGGAGGCAAGGAAATCTCAGATGAAGAGAACAGAATGAGTAAAGGGAAGGAGGTCAGAATTAGCATGGCATGTTCAGAGGCCTGAAGAAAATGACCTGACTAGAGTAAAAGGTGTGTCCTAGAGAGCAGTTGGGGATAGATCATAGAGGTTTTAGAAGTTAGGCAGAGAGAGGTACTTCAGTCTGAAAAAGGCAATAGAGATACACTGTACTGTCTTGAGAAGAGTGAAATATTTTTAAAGAGATATACTTCCTTTTTCCCAACATGAGAAAGATTTTTGCACTCTCATGACTTAGGGGGAATGTCTGGTAGGAGGTAGGGGGCAGGGACACAGACAGAGAGAGAGCTGTAAGGAATGGCTCTAACCTGACTCTTGGGTAGGAGGCAGGGGAGAGGGGACCTGTAGCCTCAAGGCTATATATGGCCCTCTAGGTCCTGAAGTATAGCCCTTGACTGAATCCAAATGTCACAGAACAAATCCCCTTAATAAAAGGATTTGTTCTGTAAAACTTAGATTCAGTCAAAAGGCTGCACCCCAGGACCTAGAAGCCCACATGTGACCTCGAGTACACAGGTTCCCCACCCCTATACCACCTAGACTCTAGGTGAACCATTCTTTCCATCAGGTTATTTCACTGGTCTAGAATGTTGGGGAAAGAGGACCAGAGACACCCATTTCCATTCCAGGTCTGATCTGTTGTTTTTTGGGGCCACATCTATACAAGTTTGACTCAAACACAAAGTTTTACCTTGAACAGCTGTACCCCAATGCAGGCAAACATGAATTGCAGAAGTGTGGTGACAATCACAATATTCCCTATCGTTCGGATAGCAACAAACACACACTGGACCACATGCTGCAGGAAGAAGAAAAGAGCAAATTATTTTTTTGTGTGTACATGGCTTTTCTTCCCCTGTTAAATTGTAAATTCCTTGAGGGAAACCACCACATTTTATATTTCACATTTTTATCTCCCCTAGTCCCTAGCATAGTGCTTGGCACATAGTAGGATTTTAATAAATATTCATGAGTTGAATTGAAATGAGGGAAAGGCCCAGGGCTACAGAGAGGTCTTGGAAGCACGAATCTTCCCTTCAAAACTGTGATCAAATGACTACCTCAATTTAATTTAATAATCACTAAGCAAATTCTATGTACAAGGTGTTATGCTAGGTATAGAGACAAAAATGAAGTAAAGCTTCCTTTCCAGGAGTTTACATTCTATTTGGGGGGATATGTTATTGATAAACACAACCGTCAGGCAAAAAAATTTATTAAGCTCCTACTATGTGCCAGACATTATGCTAAGCACTAGAGATAATAAAGAAAGATAAAGAACAGTCCCTGATCTCAAGGGCTTATAGTCCAATGGAGGAGACAACAGGCAAATGACTATAGAAGATCAAGATACAATGGAGATAATCAACAGGGGAAAGGCACTAGAATTCAAGGAGATTGGGCAGGGCTTCTTGCAGAAGACAGGATTTTAGCGGAGATACATATAAAGTAAATGCAAAGTCACTTTTTTGAGGGGGAGAGCACTAAGGAGTGGGAGGTAGGGAGGGTCAGGAAAGGTCTTATGTAGGAGGTGTCACATGAGCTAAGCTTTGAAAGGAGCTAAGGATGCCAAGAGGTAGGGATGAGAACAAGAGCACTGGGGACAGCCTGTGCAAAGACACAGAGGGAAAATGTCTTACGTGGGGAACAGCAAGTAGCTCGTTTGGCTGGGATGTACAGTGTGAGGGGGAGTAATGGGAAATCAGTCTGGAATCAGCACCCTGTTCCAAGCGTTTACTGAGCCCCTCAACCTCAGGAGCCTCCAGGAGGAAAGGCAGCAGTAACTCCCATTCTCCATGAGTAGGGAACATTCACCTCGGAGAGATGGAGTAACTCTCCCAGAATTATGCCATGAGTCAGTGTTGGAACCCCACAGGATAGAAATTTTGGTGTCGTGACTATATGGTTAGGGAGATCCTGGACCTCCCCAAATACAGAATTCTCATCTAATGGCCCCCAGATCACCCAAGTTATTAGCCACTATGTTAAAGGCCTAAGAAAAGGACCACTTGCTAAGTTTTGTTTGGGATTTAATCATTTACAACAACCCTTCTGTTTGCAATAATATCCATTTTTATTTCTATAGTGTTGTGAAATTTACAAAGCGCTTTCCTCATAACAACTGCATATGACAAGTCTTGGAAGTATCATCAACTTCATTTTATAGATGAGGAAGCTAAGCCTCAGAGAGGTAAAGTGTATTGCTCGCGGTGACTTGCTCATTGAGCCCACATCCTCTGCCTTTAAATCCAGGGCAGTCTTACCACATGGTAATTCCTTCCAATAATTAAGTATTCTAAGTCACTTAATCATAGGGACAGGATATGCCATTTAGAGCTGGAGAGGGCATAGAAGAGATAGGGAGAGCTTATTTGGGAGTGGGTCTGAGGGCAACTGTTCAATACAACCAATAACCTATCATACCTAGCTCCTATTGCCCATCTGACAGGACAATACTTAAGGTCCTTCCCCGCCCCAACAAAGAAGAGTTTTAAGTCAGCAAGACAGCTAAGCCTTGGGCCAGTATTTCTCACCTTTAATCCCTTGGCCCTGTTGATAGCTCTCAGGGGTCTGAGTACTCTAAGAACTCTCAAGATCTTGACAACATTGATGGCACTGGACCTGAAAGAAAAATGGGGTGGGGTTGTCAGTATCCCACTGGGGGTATGAACGAAGGGGATTCCAGGACAGGGCCTGCCCCAGGCAAAATTGTGAAGTAAAAAAAGTTCATCTTCAGGGATTTTTTTTTTCTTTCCCCTCCCTAGTATCTTTTTTTTTTTTGCTTCCACTCCCACTCCCCCATAGTCCAGCACTCCTATATATCCCAGGAGCCCAAATGCTCCTTATGTCAGCCTAGGGGACCTCCTCTTGGAAAACAAAGTACTCTGAAGAAATTCACTCTAATGTATAGTGACTGAAAAAAGAGGATGGCTACTGATAGTAATGTTTCACCTAAAAGAACGAATTATTAATGGTAGAGTTTCAGGCACTTAAGCATATTGACTTGTTGGTGAGAGTTTTGGGCACAGATCCCTCAAAATCAAATCTACCATGCTGGCAGCAGCCTGCTCTGCCTGATGAATGATGAACCAAATGACGTCTAAGGTTCCTTTAATCTCTGAGATTCTAAGGGTCTATGATTCTAGGATTTACACATATGGCCAAGCCTGTTTCAGCACAGGATCAGAATTCATTCAGGTCATGCATAACATCAGCCCTGGCATAAAGGTTGGGCAGGATGAGCAGAACCCTGAGTCGCCATGTACAGCTTTTGAGAGTCTCAGGTCATAGTTGCTCCTTCTTTTTCATTTATGGAACAGTGGATGCTTTCCCCAGAATACCACCAGGCAAATGTTGGCTGTCTCCAAAGCTGTTCAGAATTGTTCATCTCCTTAGAACTGTTGAATTTGAGACACATCTCTAAAGAAATGAATCTTCTTTCCACTGTGCTTTGCTCCTTTCCCTGCTGGGTCCTCTCAAAGCCTTTTTGATGTCTAAAGAATCAATCAGGAACTGAAAACACTCTTTGTCCCAGGTGCCATGGGGGCCAGAGGAATTTATTGTGACCTCTTGATCTCTCTTCTTTCCCCTTCCCCAAACCTCAATCAGTTGGAATGGGAGGATGGAAAAGAATTAAGGGGATGGTATACTAGGTAAAGGGTTAGGGCTAGACCAGGGTTAATGGAACTAACAATGCTATGTCCTTATAACTGGGTCATCTTCTACTTTTCTTTGCTTATTGTTTTCTTCTTCCTTTAATTATCTATTTTTAAAAACCCTACTCAGTCTTAGAGGGTGGAGTAGAAGCAGCTATCTTAGCAGTAGAGAGGCTGTTCTCACAGAATATCTGGAGGTGTGGGTTTGTTAGAAAATAATGAAAACCTCATGGATAGTGGGCTGTGTATGCCATTTCTCTTTATTTTTGAGGTATTTCTTTCTACCATTCCACCTCTCAATACATCCCACCACTATCTCCTCTCCCTATCTAAACATTCTGGCTTAAATTGCTGGACACCAGTCTTAGATCCTGGTGGCAATGACAACGTGCAGCACACTAGGGGTTACTGTTGTTGATTTTATTTTCTTTGTAGCCAAAGGATAGAAATATCTGGATTTATAGGTGAATAATATATTTTTAATGTACCTTTGTTACAAAGAATATAAAAAGTTTCCCTTGATTCATTTCTCTTTTTTCCTTGCTATCCCTGTGGAGAACTATCAATATTATTCCCATTTTGCAAATGAGAAAAGTCCAATAAATGGAAGGAAGTAATTAAGTCAAGCCTGCAGAGTGAGTGGCAGGATTAACCTTGGTCTAACCCTAACCCATATGTCTAGATTCCCACCTCAGGGCGCTTTTCACTAAACTTAACATTCCCAATAACATTAAAATCCTTACCCTCTCCTCGAAAAGGACTTGTTATTGAAGTACCTAGCTTTTCCCTCCTTCCCTCTTCCAGCCTGGCTTTAATTATGGAAGTAGATAGTCTAAGCACTTATTCCTTTGGGTTAATGCATTCTGCTCCTTATTAAAATGGAAACAGAATCTCTGGGAAAGGTAAAGCTACCAGCTCTTAACATCTCAGAGGAAACTAACTTATCAGACCCATCCCAATTGGATATCTAGTTGGAAGCAGTTCTCTACAGGAAAGAATTAAATGGCAGGCATATTTAAATAGAGAAAAGATGAAAAGATAGGTTACAAGGCCCTGGGATAGAAGACTGAGGGGGATATGGCTGTGGAAGGCCTTAACCATTGGAAAGGGCTGCATGGGGGTGCAGGCCACTTTGATGAGGCAAACTTGAAGAAGAAAGAGGAATATTTAAAATATAAAAAGCTGAAGGCACTTAAAACAAAGTTTGTCTTCCAACTTTGCCTACTAGGCAGTTTTGTCCAGGAAGGGCTAGCTTATTTCCAGACCTTCAGACAGCTCCTTGATAAGTCATGCCTTTCTGCATTGTAGGGATTGGCAAGGTCTAAAGGTCATGATTAAAGCAAAAAAAAAAACCCTTGGACCTTGGAGTGGACTTCCTGCTCCTTCCTCCTATTAGCCACTTTCTCTCTTGGGCTAAGAGGGACCCCCTACTCACTGGATACCGAAGGAGATCAGGGACACGCTGACCACGAGGAGGTCCAAGATGTTGAAGTAGTTCCTGCAGAAAGAGCCCTTGTGGAGGAAAGCCCCATAGGCGGTCATCTGCAGGGGATGCAGAGAGAGACATAAGTGTACTCTGACACTGGATGAATCTCAAAGATCCTCCTTCCCTCCCCCCAGATCACATTGGGCATGCTCCTGGACTGCTCCAGGAAGAGGTCTTTCTAAAAAGCAAAACGGTGACAAAGAGAACCCCAAGGTTGGGCAGGAATTAAAAAAGGAAAGGAAATGCCAGGAAAGGTGTTTTGGCCATTAGTTTTCACAACTCCCAGAGAATGCCCCTGCTCCAGAATCTATACTAGCTCCCCATAATGCCTTTGAGATGATGTCTCACCCCAGCTTTCAAAGCTCTCCATTATCTGGGCCCCCACCTTCACAATGCAACCTCATCTACTACTTCTCAGTGTCTCCTCTCTACCCTGACTGTTCCTTGCACACATGCTCATTTCTGCCATTACTCTCATCCTTTCCAGCTTTACAGGGCCTCCCTCCCTCAATATCATAACCTTTTTTCCTTTTTTCTATCTCTTTAAATCCTCCTAATCTTTCAAGGTCCAGCTCAAATTGATGATTCTTCATAAAACAATTGACTGATCTTTCACTGATCTTTTCTTGGCCTCCAATGATACTTATATTTGAATTACATATTTTGTATTTAACTATAATGTCTTGTTCTTTAGTTCATATATCTAAATCCTTTCCTCTCAAATAGATGATAAGCTTATTGAGGGCAGGGATTATATCTCATATTTTCTCCAATTCAACACAGATAGATCTATTCAATTCAATTCAACCTATTCAATATCTTTGCTGCTTCAACTTTCGAGGTGTTTAGACTCTGGAGGCTGTGAGCTTTGCTCAACTGGTACTTCCTTTTTGAAACTCCAATACTATCTTTAACTTCCTTTTAATCCTAGATCTCTTCTTTTCAAACTTTTTATCATCTTCTTGTACTCACAGAAAACTGGATCCCCTAGAAGATGCTGCTGCTTCATTTGTGCCCTGGAAACAATAAGCCAGGACAAGTAGGCATACTGTGTATGTATTGCCCCATTCTCTACTTTCTAGACATGCCACTTAGCTCTCTATCTTCTTTTGAGGTTCACTCCATCTAGATAAATCAGAACTTTTTTCCATATTCTTTGCTTCAGTCATCTATTGGCCTCTAGGTCCCTCTCTTTACTTTCTCAAGAAAATACCTCCCAGACTTCTACCACTTCAACCTTTGTCCTCATATCAGACTTGAATATATGCTTTAGTGCTCCCTAAAAGAACCTGGACTCTGAGTTCATCAAACATTGGTTGTATCTTAGCTCTCATCACCATCTCCATATTCCATTTCCATGATCTTGAACCCTGAAATTCCTCTAATAATAATATTCTGTTCTTTCCTCTCACACTCTATCTCATTCCTCTTACAACTATCTGTCAGTCCTCGCTGCAACTTCTAGTCTCTCAGTCCCTTCCCTTTTCCTAGTTGATTATGTCTTTATAGTCTTGACCCTGTAGTTGACCAGGTCAACTATAATATCTCATAACTTTGAATCTCTTGCCTTTTTGGATTAACCCTATCATCTGCCTTCTTTATTCCTAATCAAGTGCTGCTAAATGTCACCAGAGGAAATCACACAAATTTATGTTAACAGCCTTTGGTGTATAGTGATTCTTTTATCTTTTCCTGATTAGTACACTCCTTACAGGTTTTTTGAAACTTCTCAATCTTCTTAATCCTCAGTGCCCCACCCACCCTGCAATCAGTGAGGACATAATTTTCTATTTTATTAAGAAAACCAGGATTATTAGCACTCTCTTCTCCTCTACTCTATAGATTAGAAACTTTTTTTTTAAGGCAATTGGGGTTAAGTGACTTGCCCAGGGTCACACAGCTATTAAGTGTCAAGTGTTTAGTCTGACTCGGGCATTTGGACTCAGATCCTCCTGACTTCAGGGCTGGTGCTCTATCCGCTGCACCACCTAGGTGCCCCTGTTAGAAACCTTTTTCAGGACCCCACATTCTCTCAGTCTTGCCAACACCAACCATGTCCTTCGTCTTGTTGCCTCTCATCTTCTCTAGAAGTGTGCCTCCCTGATCCCTCCCTCCCTTCCCTCCTGCTCATTTTCAGTCTGACTGTATCAATTGGATTTCTGCTGCTTATAAACATGACTAGGTCTCCCCATCCATATAAAAACCAACTCCTCCCCTCCCAAACCCTCAAGCACATTCACTTGACTGCATCCTCTTGAATTATTATCCTATATTTCTCCTTTCTTTCATTTCCGAATTATCAAAAAAGAATTTTCTATGTTCATTTCCTTCCTTTCCTTATCCAGACTTTGCAATTGTTTCTGGCCCCACCGCTTACTGAAATTGCTCTCTACCTAAGGTCCCATAACTACTAAACCTGAAAGCCTTTTTCCAGTGTTCATCCTGTTTGACACTTGATGATTTCTCCATTCTCAGGGATATTCTCTTCGTAGATTTCTGCGTGATATTACTTTCCCCTGATTTTTCTCTATTTGTGTGATTATTTCTTTCCTTGTCCCTTTTGCTGGATCTTCATCTATTTCCCACCTACAAAGTTCAAGTAATCCCTAAGGTTTTGTCCTTGAGCACTTTTCTTTTGTTCCTTTCTCTACTTTCTTTCTTGATCTCACCAACTCCTGTGAATTCAATTTATTATCTCTAAACAAATGACTGCCAAATCTATATGTCTAACCCCAGTATCTCTCATGAATTTCAGTCCTGCCAACTGACTGTGGCTTTCCATCTGGACGTCCTATTGGCATTTCAAACTCAGCATGTGTAAAACTGAACTAATTACTCCTCTTTTCCTCTAAAGCTGCTTCCTCTCTTTAAACTTCCCTGTTTTGCTAAGGACACCATCATCATTCCAGTCACCCAAGTTCACAACCTTAGAACCTTCTTTGACCTTCTCCTGACCCTCACCCTGACATCCAATTATTTTCTCTCATCACTTTTACCCCCATAACAGCTTTCACACTGATCTTCTTTTCTCCATACACATGACCTCTAACCTGGTTTAAGCTTTCTCCACTCCCCCTTCACTTGCACTATTCCAATAATTTCCTAATTGATCTCCATGGTTCCAGTCTCTACCTTCTCGAATCCACTGTCTATAGAACTGCCAAATTAATCTTTTTTAAAATTTATTTTTAATTAACATTTTTAATTAATTTATTTATTTTCAGTTTTCAAATTCATCTCCCTAAGATGGTCTGATCATGTCACTTCTATTGCTCCCTATTGTCGAGGTTAACATATACACTCCTCAGCTGGCATTTTAAACCTCTAGAATCTATCTACCTGTCTTTCTAGAATGATTTCCCATTTCTGGTAAATCACCCTACTAGCCATACCCCATCTCCTGTCTTTGTGTGTCCTTACAGTGTCTCCATGCATGGAGTGTACTCCTTCCTTGTCTTATCCTGTTGGAGAAGACTTAGCTTCAAGACAAAGTTCGATATTCCTTCCCTCACTCCATCCTTTCTCCCCCCATCCCAGGCTGACAGCGCTGTTTCTCTCCTCAAATTACTCTGCATTTGCGTATCTGTATAAATGTGGTATCTCCTCATACAATGGAAGTTCTTGATATAATTTATTTTTCTACCCCTAGCACCTACATGTGTCTTGTACTGTACTTAATACATGATTGTTAAATTTGTTGAATATTGTGTTCCTAATTTTCAATGTCTGTAAGCTTTCCAACCTCCCCAACCTCCAGTAATATATCATCTCCTGGACAATAGAAGCTACACAGTTGGCTTCTTAAATATATCCCCCAGTGGCACCTACCTATCAGTTCTGTGTTCCTAGTGGGTGCTCAAAAATTGTTAAATTTAATTGAATTGAAGCATGGGACAATTTAAGGGCAGGAAAGGATTATAGGCTGTGGAGTTACCCAGGGGAGAAAAAGTTACGGCCTAGCAGTTGAGTTGTGGATGCGAGAATGGGGAGTCAGCCACCTGACCAACTGGAGTCTGGCTTTTCTTTGTGGAATCAGGGCATGCACAGGACAGGGTGTTTTCAGAGCAATTCAAAAGCAGACACAGGGGGAGCTGGCAAAAATAGCTCTTGCAACCTAATTCTTTCCATTTGTCTCTTGCAATAGGGGGTCACAGGGGATTCAGGCACCTGTGCTCTGAAACAGTTTTGGGAAGTAGGTGGATTACATAAAAGGATGTGAGGGAATAGATTGGGAGAGTTCCATTAGCCCCACCATCTGGAGTGTATGACTGCCCCCTTCCCAACTCCCTTGGCCTCTGAAATGCTGAGGACCTCTGGGACTGGACCTAAGCTTTGATAGCATATATTGAAAAGGGAGCTCTCTGCTTCACAAGCCAAACTCCCTACACTGAGCATTTCTACTCTCAGTACTGAGGGAAAGAGCTAGGTCACTTCTGCCCTTGTCTCTCTAGGCTTGTATCTTACATGGAAACTCCTGAGACTTGGCAGTTTTTTCCTTATTCTATCTGGAAATGTGGCATCACTCAAGATTAGGGGAAATACAGGGTTCAAGATGCTAACCTTTGGCCTCTTTGCTGGTTTGTGTTCTTATACATAAGGGAACCCCAAAGAGGGGCTTTACCAGGATTACTGTAGTCATACTTTGTGTGTGTATACGTGTATGTGTGTGTGTGTGTGTGTGTGTGTGTGTGTGTGTGTGAGGAAGGTGTCTCTGTGAGAAGCAGGTAGGCTAAGGGAAAAAGCCTCCCTACCTGCTTTGGAAGCATTGGAAGGACAATTTAGGACTGCTTGTAGTTGGGCTGTCCAGCAATGCTGGGTCTAAGAACATGGTCAAAGGTGTTTGTCCTTAACCCAATTCCTTGCTACGAAGCTGCCTGCTCAGGCTGCTATTTCCTGGAAACTTCTAGCCATTGCTCATGAAGAACAGTCTTAGAGGAGACCAAGATAGCAGGATGTATAATCATAGACCTTTAGAGTTGGAAGGGACCTTAGAGGTCATCTAGTATGTGGGTCCCTTTTGCAGCATCCCTGAAGGATGGCCATCCAACCTCTTTTTGAATACCTCCGATGTGAGGGAGCTATATGCCCCCTGAGGCAGCTCGTTCCTTTGTTGGACAGCTCTAGTTCTTAGAAAGTTATTTATATTAAGTTAAAATCTTGCTGTAACTTCTACCTTCTTCCCTCTACAGCTAAGCAGAATAAATCTACTCCCACTTCCACCTGGCAGCCCTCTAAATACTGAAAAGACAGTTATCATGACCCCATTAAATTTTCTTTTCTTTAGGCTAAAGATTCTCAATTCTGTCAAGTGACTTTCAAATGATATGTTGGATCATTTCTGGACTGCTGCTATTAACTGCTTCTTGCCGCAAAGAAAGAATTTGATTTACTGGCTAAGCAAATACCCCTCAAAGTGGGGAGAAAAGTATAAACTCCAGACTAGGATTTTGAAGTTATACTTAGGAGCACACTGAGTGTAGGATGGAGGAGGAGGGACAGGGGATGGGAGGGAAGAAAAAGGATCTTGCCATCACAAAGCTTGTAAAGGGGTCCTTTACTATTTTCAGCTTGTATGGCAACATTGAACAAAAATCAGCACCATTGAAATCAATGTGGGAAGCTCTGTAGAGGAGGGTGGTGGAGAGTGAGCATCACACTTGGGGGCCCTCTTTTGAAGGGGCCTCATCCTTCATCCCTGCCCTTGAACACTTTTGTGTGATCAGTGATGCTTTTTACATGTAAGGCCTAATAAGCAACAGCCATCTACAACAATTCACTCTAATACCAAATTGAGTGCAGTCTCACATGGTTTGCCTTATGGCATGGCACATGATCTGATGGGGAGATACATCAGGCTTCCCCTTGCACAAGGAGGATGGAGTGGAGCAAAGAAATTCTGACCACAGAAACACCATGGAGCATATCATTTGTGGAGGTGGAGCTAGGGACATAGTTTGAGGGTATGAACAACCTTTGTAGGTTAAGGACATAGTATAAAAGTGAGTATAAAAATATGGACCCAACCATTTTCCCATCCTAGCCACACATGGGCGCATGTCCTAGCCCACACCTGGATTCCAAGGGCGGGATTTGGGCTTAGATATACTGGTGAGATGCTGCCTATTGTATACGATTCCATATCTGAACCCATTTCCTATCTGATCCAGTGATGGAAGGCCAGATCTATTTAGAGGAAGAAAAACAGGAAAACTCACTCTGAAATAAGACTAAATCTGAAGTGGATATCCCCCTGCCTTTTAGCTCTATTAGGTCAGGGATCACGCTTTGTCTTTGTATTACCTTCCCTGGACTCCTTATATTTAAGTTCAGCTCTTTGTACATGGTAGGCAAATGATTATTAAATAGATACATACATTTTATCTAAGTAAGTTATACCTTCTTATTCAAAAGGTCCAAATTATAGGAATTTTACCTTTGGCTTTTGAAATGTATTTCATTCTAGGGATAAGGTCTCTTTTGATAAAACTCAGAGGAGCTAGTTTTGAGGGTATCATGAAAACCACTTGACAAGTGCTGCTTTGCTGATGTATTCAGTGGTAAGTCGAAATCAGAGATTTGTTTTTGCCTGGGAAATAAAGTTTTAGGAAGATCTCGCCACAGAGCTATTAGCCCCCAGGGCCAGGGACATTCAGGTTTGTGCCTATGCAGACTCAAGCCTATGGTTTGGAGGCTATATTTCTGAGCCCCTTTGCTGACAATTAAATTCTTGTTTCTTGTACTTACCCTCCAACTCCAAATTAAAAAAAATTCTCTTAGCATTGAGCTATAAAGGACTCAATAAAGCTGTGTATAGATTTTGGAAGCCCCCAGATTTAGAACTGATTCACATCCTTTTCATTGGATTAGAGGCATAGCTACACTGTTCACATCTTCAGGATAACCTCAAGGACTATGGCATGGGCCTTGGGATCCAGGCTTGACACATGTGGGAAGGACAAGAGAAGAGAACAGCTTATGTCTTTTCTTTCCAACCACTCGTTCCCTACCCTTGGTGGCCATAAGCCATAATTTTTGTGCCTAGGAAAATCACCACAAACTATGCCCATGCAACCCATAAGGCTGAGGCTGCCTTGAGGAGGAGGGGGCTTCACATATGGTAGCTTTCTACTTTAACTAATTATTACTAATCAAGTTCTAAGGAGTGTCCTATAAATTCAGCACCCTGAAAAAAAGCCCTGCATGCTCCACTTTAGTTAAGACTTTGGCCAGAAGGAAAGGTGAACCTCCCCCTAAGAAGCCAGGAAGTGGAGCAAAGTTCCTTTGTGTGAGTGAGGCAGTACTGAATTATATATATTTGGTAAAGAAGGTTGGGAGTTGGAATATAGTATGAGTGTGTTTTGGGGTGAACTTCAGGTTGACTCAGTGTTAACGGCACTAAGATGATACATGATGAGCTTTCCTGCTGGCCTTTCCATGCCAAATGCTCCCCAGCCATATATCAGACAAAAAAAATTTTTTTTTGCAGGTAACAAAGGAGGTAGCTCAATATGGCTCTTGGCTTAAGACAATGTACCCATCACAAAAGTGATAGCCACTATAGGCTCCTTCCAGTCACAAGGTTAAGGGAGAATGAAAGAGAAAGAAACAGAAGAAAGAGAGAAAGAGACAGAAACAACCAGAGAGTCTCTCATGCTTGTGTGCGCACACACACACACACACACACACACACACACACACACACACACAAACCCACAAGGGTGTCCAGGCGAGGTAGAGAAAAAGAGAGAGACACAGTGAGGATGTATTATTTGCTCATGTTGCATTACCTTAAGGATAATTTCTAAGGTAAAGATACTAGTGAAGACATAGTCTGCATTGCCTAGGATCTGAAAAATAAGCACAATTGGGTTAGTGGCTCTGATTGTGAACCAGACAGCCCCAGAGGCATGTGGGTTAGCAACAGACAGTGGCAGAGAGAGCTAGTGCTGGTGGCAAGAGGGAGGCATGAAGAGGAGGAGGAGAGCAAGTGATGGAGGCTTTACCTTCAGAGCAATTTCAATGGTGAAAATGGTAGTAAAAACTATATCAAAATAAAACAGAATCTGCAAAACAAAAAGGGACAGGGTTGGAGGGAGAGGGAGGAGGGGGTCAAAAGGGAAGGGGGATAGATCATTGGATGTTCACCAGAACAGGGAATTGCAATTCAAAAATCAAGTAAGCATGTCACATGAAGCTTTACACATGGAGAAGGCAGAGCTGGGCTGGAACCAGGTCAGGAGGCAGGTGGCATTATATAATTTTTTTTCTGATGCCTTTAAGGTAGGGCTCAGCTTCAGAGATTCTCCAAAGCAGTCCCTTTTGAAGCCACAGAGGTGAGAGGAGGGTTTCCAGGGCACAGTGTAGTCAGTTCTGCGTCTGGGGCAGAAACACCTGCTCTTATATGAGCATATATCCAATATGCTCATCAAACCAAGTCAGCCCAGCCCTGATGCTTCTCATTGAAATCCGTGTCAAAGGGGTAAGCGAGTTAGAGATTTTTTGCAGACAACACTAGATACTCAGTTCAGATTGGGTCTGCTCTTCAGATGGAAATACACACAGAGGAGACTGCTGCTGTGTTTGCCATGACAGCCCCTTCCTATCAGCAGAAGCTTGTGTAGTCTGGAGTAGGGATGTGCTATGAAGCATCACAATTCTCTTCACCTTTGAGTGATGGGTAAAACTCAAAGGTCAGAGTCCCTTCCATCTCCCACTCCCATATTGCCCCTCTAATCTCTTCTCTCAGGTGGCTCTCTGGACACCACACCAGAAAGTATTTCTTCAACATGGGGCTGGGTGAAAATGGAGTCTTGGTTGTGAGGCACCTGAGAAGGACCACCACCCAGAATCAGTCCAAGCCTTCTGAAGACAGCCTTAGATAGAACTTTTATTTCCTGGGATAGCCATGGTTTAGCCAATCTGTGCCCACTCTGGGTCCTGCTTAATTCAGGCTGTGAGATTATAGAATCAACTGTGCAGTTCTCCTTCTAGAATAGGCTCTGATGAAATGAGCCCTGAAATTTTTCAGGGAATTCAATAACTCAAGGGAAGATCTCAGGGGCCTGGTCTATAGAGAATTTGCCACATTGTTGGTACATCATCACTCTCCTCCCCCTTCTATCCATTATCGAGAATGGAAACACTGTAATGATAAGAAGGAAGAGAACCAGTGCCTTATTTCATTGAATATTTCTGGTAACTCAGTTTCCCGGGCACGTGAAGAATCCAATGGCTTGCACTTTCCTCACCCTCAGGAGGAGCCAGAAGCAGTTGAGTACAATCTCTTTTGTTTGCTTCTAGCCCTGATATGTGGGCATATATGGAAGCTGGACCTGTTAAAGGGGTCTACTTGTTCTGTACCAGATAATGCTTATCATAGGTTATGGAAATGGGCATCTTCTTACTGTTTGGGCTTTCACAAATCTACGTCAGTCACCACACTTCTGGGCCTGCCCATACTCTTACCCTCCAAGAGGAAGACAGGGAGCAGAGGGGAATGCATACTTGGTTCCGAAAGGAGTTGTGTCGGACTGGGTCCTCAGCAGCCAGGGAGATGCTGCTGAGCAGAATGAAGAAGAGGATCAGATTGGTAAAGACATTGTTGTTGACAATGCGGTGACACTGAAGACGGAACCTTTGGAAGAAAAGAGAGGTTAGGTTAGAAAGGGAAAAGGATAGAGGCAGATATTGATACCATGCCAGGAATACTCTATAAAGTTCTCCCACACTGATACTTAAGCTTTGGGCTACCCATTTGTGCTGCATGGCTTAGGGAGTGGACTCTATTGAATCCTAGGCACCTAGGTTTTAGTTAGTGTTGGGCGAGGCCTGAAGCCTTGGAGACAATACAATTCTAGGTATTATGCTTTGGAGGAAAGAGAACCTTTCCTCTCACCATATTTCTGAATACCTGTTGTTATGGCCAAAGATGAAAAATGCACTGGCTTCTGGCATGGGTACTGCCTTTTCCTTGAGGTGTAACTCAGAGAGTGGGCGAGGGCGGGGCCCCACAGGCATCTCAGGCTCTTCCTCTTCTTCTTCTCCTGCAAGAAATAGGCTCATTCAAATACGAGTTTCCCACCCTTCACTGACAATATCTAGCCAGTGATATATAGTGAAAGTATGAGGAAGCACCGGCTCCTATGGAAATCCAGTATATCATCTATAATAGAAATCTTATTTGTTTTATTCTTGTGGGTCCCATGGGGGTTTTTGATATTTGAAAGTGGGGCCTGGGGAGGGAAAAGAGAGGTTCTCTTATGACAGCATATGAATGAGGAGTTGTCAGACACTAGGACAGAACAGTATGGGGTAGCAGAAATAGGATTGAGAGTCAAGAGGACCTAGGTTCATGACTCTCAAACCTATATGACCTTGGGAAAGTCCAGAACCTCCATTTAAGAAGGGATCTCAGTTTAGAACATTTCCTTATTTTTCACCTGGCTGCATTATTCTGATTCATCTCTGATTTCTCTGCCATGCCCAAGAAAGCTCATTATTGGGAAAACCTCATTGTCCTTCAAGATTCCAACAACTCCGGCACTCCTTTGTATTACTACCCACCACTCCTCTGACTTGGGAGTCATGAACTCCCAAACCTCTATGTAACGAGGGAGTTCAGCTCAGTTATCTCTTCATTTCTCACCTGGCTGCACCACTCTGGGACATCTGACTTGTCCACCATCCTCCCCTCTTCACCCCCCCCCCGTTGGGCACCTGCTTCCTTCCCCCACCTGCTTTTCAGCTTCCTTTTGTATACTGTCTTCCCCCATTAGATAGTAAGCTCCTTGAGGGCAGAGACTTTTCTTTTAGTAGTTATGTCTTTAGTACTTAATTTGGCACAGTGCCTGGAAAATAGTAGGCATGTTATAAATGTTTATTGACTGACTGATGTAATTATTTCTCAACACTTCGATTTCTATACCTCTAAGGTAAAAGAGGTTGCCAAGCTGATTTCTAAGGTTCTAAGGCTCTAAGTCCTCTGATCTCCCATCTCTGTGTCTTCAAGGGCGGGGAACCTGCAGCCTCGAGGCCACATTTGGCCCTCTAGGTCCTCAAGTGTGGCCCTTTGATTGAATCCAAACCGTGCCCCAAGACCGTTCTCCTTTCATGGAATGTGCCTCCTCTTCACCTCGGCCACTTAGCTTCCTTCAAAGCTTCAAGTACCACCTCCTACATGAGGCCTCTCCTCATCTCCACCAGAGGTTACTGCCCCTGTGTACCCCAAATTATCTTGTCTTTATTCTATGTATTCTTTTTTCTGGTTTTTATTTTATTTAAATTAATTTATTTTGATTTATCAACAATCATTTCCATACGCTTTTGAATTTAAAATTTTTCTACCCCTTCCTCCCCACCACCCTCCCTAAGACAGCACACAATCTGATATAGGCTATACATATACATTCCTATTAAACATATTTTCACATTAGTGATGTTGTAAGTAAGAATTAAAACCAATAGGAAGAACCACCAGAAAGAGGAAATAAAACTCAGCAGAAGAGAAAAAAATAGCAAATAGTATGCTTCAATCTGCATTCAAATTCTATAGTTCCTTTTTTTTTTTTAAGGCTATTGGGATTAAGTGACTTGCCCAGGGTCACACAGCTAGTAAGTGCCAAGTGTTTGGTCTGAGGCTGGATTTGAACTCAGGTCCTCCTGACTTCAGGGCTGATGCTCTATCCACTGCGCTACCTAGCTGCCCCCCATAGCTCTTTCTTTGGATGTGGATGGCATTTTCCATCACGAGGCCTTTGGAGATGTCTTAGATCCTTGTATTACTGGGAAGGGTTAAGTTTATATATATTAGTCAGCACACAGCGCGGCTGTTGCTGTGTACAACGTTCTCTTGGTTCTGCTCACTTCACTCAGCATCAGATCATCATCTTATGTATTCTAATAAATGCACATGCTGTCCCGACTTCCCAGTAGAAGGTAAGCTTCTTAAGGGCAAGGACTATCTCAGTTTTGTCTATATATCCTCAGTATCTAATACAGTGCCTCCAACATAGTAGGTGTTTAATGAATACTTTTTGATTGACTGATCTTGTGAAAGGTGATAGAGAATCAACCCAACATACACAACTCAGCGAGCAAGTTGTACATGGTAGATTTGCAGTTTCATGTGCAATCATCTTTTTCATTGTGCTGTGTTAGAGAAATGCTTGTTTTGTTCTGTGAATTGAAAATAAAACAAATAAAATAAGGAAAAAGACAAATATAGTCAAAAAGGAAAATAAAAAACCCGACAATATATTAAAAGTAGAATAAAATTTTGATGAGAAAAAAAAAGGTAATTGAAATAGACTATCTACGTGAGAATGCCACTGTACAGGATCAAAGATACAGGGTCATTGGTCTAAAGCTGGAAGGGAACACACTGGTCCAGCCCCATTTTACAAGTGAGGCTTACCCCAGGTCACACAGGTGGTAAGTATCAGCGGTGGGATTTGAATGTAGGTTCTCCTGTTCTTTCCATTGTGCATGCTGTTTTTAAACTGTCCTGCCCTTTTCAAGTGTACTTTAAAATTCCCAGAATGAAAAAGGTTGTCCCTTTGAAGGGTCTCATCCCTCACCTTTGCCCTTGGAGATTCTGGAGTGATCAGGAAGGGTTTTAGAACCTAAAGCTTTTAAGCCACAGCTCCCTCTGAAAAAGGGCTGCACAGCGGTGCATTCTGATATGGCAAAGAGCATTATAAGGTTCAACCTAGGTACTGGCACAATCTTGTTAGCTAGAATTCAGCTCTAAATTTCTTTGAGTTTAATATTGTCCCCTTGTCTCTGCTGTCCTCCTTACAATTCTTATTGCATACTGTTGCCAGATTAGTGTTCCTAAAACCTTTGTTGCTTCCAGGAAAAAAAAGCCAGATTCCTTAGCCTGTCATTTAGTGACCTTTACAACCTAGTCCCTACCTGATTTTCTGAACTTATCTTCCTCTACCACCTTACACGAACCTTTTATTACTGTCAGCTTCTTTCTTGAAGTGCAGGTAAAAATTTTCAAGGTAAATCTTATTTTTAAATCATATTTTTTTCAATCAGCAAAAACCTCACCTTTTCTCCCTTCCAACCTGCTCCACCACCCTTCTACTAAGTTGAGAATAAAAGAAAAACAAAACCCCTGTTACAAACATGTGTAGTCAACCCCCCCCCCAATTTCTGCATTGGCCACATCCAAAAAATATATTTCATTCTGCACTCTTGAGTTCTTCATGTCTCTTTCAGGAAGTGGGAAGCATGTTTCATCATTCCTCCTCTGGAATCATGGTTGATGACAGGTAAAATTTTGCTGTCCTTTGGGTGCTGCTGGGTTTTATGATGCTAGATTTTGATGTTTTACTTGAGTGGATTCATATTGGGATAACTTATATCAGGGATAGGTCTTGATGTTCTGATGAATCCTTCAATTGCAACAGCTAACTTGGTAATCTTAGGCCAAATGCAAAGCTAATCGCTAGGTAGCAGACCAGCAATATTCAGCTAATATAAGGCCACTAGAAATAATTTTCAGAGTTATCAATCTATGATTACTCCTCACTAGAAATACCTCATTTCTTCATTAGAAAAGTCAGAATTATGCAGAATTGTGCCTCACTGATCAATAGTGAAATAACCACCTCCTTTGGGGGAGGAGGGCAGGCAGGGGCCAGGAGGCATTTGACCATTTACATCACCTATATACTCCATTGGCAAGAAGGAGGAAAAGTCTATTAAGAGACATGTAAACATTTTTTAAAAAATTACCAATCTGGTTAAATTTTGGGTGAAGCCTCTATTTCGTGACTAGAGAGTAGGAACTACACCCAATGGTACCCTCATTGGTATTTTCCTGATCAAGTAGCTCTCAACTTCCCAGAAATGAACTCCAAACTGTCATGACCTTCCCTAAGATTGTTCTAGCCTGTCATGCCAAACAAATTTCCCTTCATTCCCTAACACATAGCATGGTCCTGCCCTTGGCTATCATCTTCTCTTCTTCTACTGTACTTTCTTCTTTGGCACTTCCATGATTTCAGCCACCCTATCTGTGAAAATGACTCTCAAGTCATTACCTCTAGTCTTGACCTCTCCCCTAAGTCTAGACCTTAGAAGATCCATCAGATATCTCCACTCTACTTGAAACTTGAACCTCATAAAAATAAGCTCTTTCCTTAAACTTTCCTCCTATTCAGTATTTCTAGCAGTTGATGAGCTGAGCCTTGAAAGGAGATAGGGATTCTAAGAGGTAGGGGTTCATTCTAGACATGGGAGAAAGTGTGTCCAAAGACATGAGAGATGAGATGGAATGCCAGGTAGGCCAGTTTGTCTGGAAAGTAGAGAGTGTGAAGAGGAGTAATATGCAAAAAAGCCTGGAAAGGAGCCAGACTGTAAAAGTTTTAAATGCCAACTGAGGCATTTAAATAGGGAACTCTTGAAGGTTTGTAAGAAGGGGGGTGATTTTAGAAAGATTATGACGAATATAGAGATGTTAAGGCATTTTCTTACAACCAGTGAACCCAGAATTAAGAAGTTTCTTAGTCAAACTGAGATGATGATGGGGCCTCAGCCATTGGATGATAGCAACTGTTACTATACCAGAAATGTCTAGTGACTGGCTGAATAAGCCAGACCACAGTTTTGACAGAAGTGAGCCCTGGTTGTTGAGAAGAGAGCCTGCTGTGAAGAAAGAATTCAGCTCCTAATACCACTCTTCACCTTTCGCCTTGTACCTTTTACAGAGTGCAGAAAGATGAGGGATGGAAATTCTCCTTCTCCCCTCCTCCACTGGTAATGGTATTGCACGTGTAATGAAAAGGGGATTCAAGGCTATTGCTTCCAGAACCTTAAATGTCTTTGTGGATGATGTGGGGATTCTGAATTATAGAGACCATAACTTCAGACTTGCCTGAGCAAGCTGAGAACCCTGACACCTAAGTTGTATAGAGAAATCCCCTCCCCTTTCTCCACTGAAAGTCTAAATGAGAGCTGGCATTGGTATTTGTTTGAACAAAGAGGCTACCTCAAAAAAAAAAAGGCTAAACTATAAATCCTCACTCTTTATAGCCTTTGGAGTGGGTGGCTCTTCCTGGCCCAGTCACCAATCTTCTTCGGCACAGCCCTTGGTCACAGAATAACTGAAGACCATTCAAAGATCAGCTAGGGGCTTATGATTGTTCATGTCCAGCGGGGGCCAGAACATGGAACCAAAGTATACATGTGTAGCTCCATAGCAGGTATCCCACTTCAGCAGATAAGTGGGTTCCCCTGATCATCCCTACTATGGGAATAAGTGACTAAAACCATAATTCACTTCTATTTGCCCTGGCAGAGTGCTACACACCCTGGATGAGTGGATGAATGGACATTTCTAAGTAGAGAGTGTGTTATTTGCCCAGTAGACTAACTCCAACCTCTTGGATTTAGAGATTAAATAATGAGGAAGCCTCTTAGGCCACCAGCACCTTTTTTTTTTTCTCAAAGAGAATAGCTGAAGGGTGGAGTTGGAAGCCCTCTAGCTCTTCGCTTCCTGAGCCTTCCTGACTCCCTCTGAAGTTGGGTTTGCATGAATCAATTTGACACAGAGAAGCTGACAGCCTGAGGCTGTGGAAGAGAAGAGGGGAGAGAGGTTTGAAGGGCAACTCTGGTCAAGAAAAGGAATACATAAAGCAGATGATTTGAAAGACTTTTAAGACTTTGAGACCCAGAAGAATTCAAGTAATGATTTGCGCATGAGTAAGAAAGAAGAAAAAATGTTTGGCACTCTTTATCCACACCTCATTCATTTCGTGAAATTCCATCACTTAAATAGCAAGAAGAAATACTCCTTGCTGAAAAATTATAGCTTCATCACATGAGGAGATGAGCCATATAGAACACTATGTCTCTGGAGCAGGAGAGAAGATGGGAACAGCAGGAAACTACGGATCACCAACAGGCTTCTTTGTGAATATGGTGGAGGAGGTGGAGATGGAGGGGAAGGTTAACCTCAGCTATTTATGGGATTAGAGTCTTCAAACAAAAAGAGAGAAGACTGGAGACTGAAGGGAGAACAAGGCCTGGGTCTGAAGGAAGGGAAAGGAGTCACCACATGAGACAGGGAAGAATCAATTTCCAGATAGGCCATAAAATTCTGGTGGATCAAATTAAATTCAAATAACCAGACATTTATTAAGCTTGTTATATGCAAAGTAAAATGACATTACTCTTAAGAAGTTTATGACTAATGGGATAGAGGGGAAGGAGTATAGAGTTTAAGTTTTCTGGGCTTCATTTGCTTCATATATAAAGTGAAGGGGTTGGAACAGGGAATCACTAAGGTCCTTTTTACCTCTATATCCTAGGATCTACGAATAAAGCCTATGATTCATTCATCACAGAATGAGGACAGAGGAATTTCATCATTTAAAAATGCTAACCAAATAGAAAGCATATCGGATTGACCAGTTTTTGTTTTTAATTGGAATAAGCTTATCCTTGATGCCTGCTGGGCTGGCTGCAAGCCTCTGCTGTCTCTCAGACATGACGGGGGTGGGATGCAGAGTGATAAATGCTTACACACATAGCTAGCCTTAGGAGTGTCTAGAAGAGACCCAGGAAAAAGTCTATTTCTGTATAATGGTGGGCCAACATGAATTCAATTGATTTCAGTTTAATTTACTTCAATTCAGTTCAGTTCAATGAAACAAAAGGTTTTATACCCTTTATCCCCACATCACTCCTTTAAAAAAAAATCCACTCATTTAATTAGCAAGAAGAGAACCTACAGTCTGCAAATCATAGCTTTTGTCCTCTAGCCCAGACATATTTGAGAAACTACTTAAATTCAAGAGCGCACTGTCCTTGGGGCCTGTAAGAGACATCGAGAAGCTCCTATGGTGGTAAGCACTGAGCAAGGCCCTATGCTGCATCCAAAGATCTGTAATCTCTTCAAGATGTGCAGCCTCCTCGAGGAAATTCTAGCAGGAAGAATTTCAGATCCAGCACTTTTTATCTTACGAGTAGCAATCTTTTTGATTAGGTATGTGGAGAAGACCAGAGAACTGTCTTGGGGTAGAGATCCAGTAATTTTTCTTTTTCTTCAGTTTTGAACTTAATAAATACCCCATAAGACAAGCACTTTTATATACATGGTAGAATTTAAAAAGAGGATGGAGCATGAAGCTGTGAATCTGTACTGTGAATAGCTTGTTTTTCTTGTTATGCATATCACCAATTCAACAAGATATTTTCAAAGCTGTCCTGGTTGTCTGTGTTTCCTACTGACCATCCTTCTGTTCTTTTCTGTGTATTTAAAAATCTCAGCAATAGCTTTCAACACTGCTTGATAAATAGGCATCAGTATACTCTCCAATATCATGGGCAGACCATGGCTCTCCCCTTTCCTTCTTCCCTTTGACTGGTAGCACAGATGATACAAGCTATGAATCCTCATAAAATTGCCACAGGTGCAAGAGGTGTCGATACCCTATCACTTACCAAAAAACCCCCTACAAAAAACAGGCTTAGAAATGACTGCATCCTGGTGGATTCCAATCCTGATCTTTAAATATAAATCTTATAATAGCCATGTTTTATGTGGGGGGGGGATGGCACCCATTCTCAGGAATAATTGAAGTTTGACTCTCAGATGAGAGAGAGAGGTTTTTAAGAGTACTTGAAAGTATCAAATTGGCCATCTACCCCAGGCCCAAAGCTTTTGATCATCCTTTTCTCCCCTCCCATCCATACATACTGATTTCCCTGTCCATGACTACATGGAGCAGAATTCTGTTTCTCTCTTTGCCTGGGAGCTATCATTGAAATCTCAAGCCATTGTTTCCATGGCAACCAAAAAAAAAAGGGATGCTAACGCCCTTGGTCAGGATAGAGCCGATGTAAAAAGTGTTAAGATGAATGACATGGGAGAGAAAAGAAGGAAAAGAAGTGGTGTGGGTGGAAGTGTGGGAATACCTATACTGTGTTGTTATTGGCTTCAGGCTTATAGGCCAAGCTTAAATAGGGATTTCTATGAACAAGGATCATAAGATTGAACAGTGTTTTAGAGGGAATTTGAGCACAGTCACGGACCTTTGCTCTTCAGATCTCTTTATAAAGGAGAATTCTGCTTGCTAGCTTACAAAATAGAATCAGTGTAAAACTGAATTTGCAAGAATTTTTTCTGAGCTGGTTTATCTCCCAAAATGAACAAAAAGTGAGATATCTGTTCTTGTACCCAGCAATGAGTTCTTCATAGCACATGAGAGACCTGGCCTATTGTGATAGTTATTTTAACATGACATTATGACCTATCTCCTACAGATATGTATAATATATAGTTATGTACTATCATGAAACTTTGAGTTTATATACTCTGGAGAAATAGTGCTGATTATATCTTATTTACTCTGAGATTAATCCTTTGAGGAAACCAGGGGCCAGCTATTATTCATTATTTAATAATTAAAATTAAATAATTAATATAGTAATAATTAATTACTACTTATTAAATTTTTACATTTTCAAATGATACAAAGAGTCCCTAAAAAAGAGAGAGGTTAAGTGACTCACTGGTATCACATAGCTAAACACCACCCGAGGGAGAAGCAAAACTAGAGCTATTAATCCTTACTCCAAAGCTATTCCCACTTGGCTTAAGGAACTGGAAATTTTCCCCTCTTCCCCTCCCCCCATCCCAGGCAGCAGGGCTGTGTACCTCCAGCTTCTGGGTTGGGATAGGAACCTTTCTCCTCATTTTCATTGGGCTGGAGGTCATCCACGTTGATCTAGGCAGTCAAGAGAAAGAAGGGTAATGGATCTAGTTAGACAATGTTTCATGGATTTGGACACCTGACACAGCCATTTAAATCCTCTAACAGATACTGTGTGAAGCGTTTGACTCACAAATAATCAGTGTTGTTTTACATTTCTTCTACTAACATCCTCAGATCATGGTGTGGAGGTGACTGAGGCTCACAAATGCTATGCCAGAAGGGTACAAACTAAGTCAGATATAACTAATCTAGAAATGCTTCAGGCACAGGTCTATTGATCAAACACCGGTGTGGTCGAGGTCAAAAGATTGGCCATTGGGTAGTAAATATTTTGGCCAAAGCACCTCATGAAACTGTGCAGAGGGGCTGTGATTTGCATCAGTGAAGGGACTACCCCCATTGGTGAAATTATAGCTCCTTGGAAGTATTGGATTATTTTGTTTATAATCGGTGTGGTTTGGATTTATGATTTCATCAGTATGGGGAATTCCCAGTGCGGGAGAGCTCTTCATTGATGGAGTTACTCGTGAGTAATTTAGAGTCTTAAAGAGTTGCCTGGGACTCTTACAGGTTAAGTGATTTGTCCTTGGTTACATAGTTAGTACATGTCAGAGGCAGGACTAACACCCATGTCTTCCTGATTCAAAATCCATCCCTCTACCCACCATACCACACTGCCTGTCTTGTGTGATAAAGTCAAAATGCACTTGGATTTCCTTCTCACTTTGTCATTCTAATTCCTCTGCCCTCTACCCAAATACCAGTCCCATCTTAAAATAAAATCTCTCTTGTGCCTTCCTTCTCATTCCCTTAGATCAGGCTCCTTTAAGTCTTTTCTATGTCCATTTTGGTTGGCCTAACTTGGAAAGATTGAGTCTGGGTTCAGCTGCAGCAGGGGCATGTAACTTAGTACCCCAAGGGGGAAGGTACCGGTGCACTACTTACCTTGGTGGTGGGTGGAGACTCCCCATCAGCAGTAATTGACTTTAGCTCAATTTTCTCCTCCTTAGTCTCCTCCACTGCTGGTTTTTCCACCTCTTGCTTCTTTTCAGGGCTGGCAGTCCTGGCCAGTCAACAAGAGGAAGAACAAATGAATGTTTACTTGGGTGATCAGCATAGAAGAAGATCTGATTCTGGCTTGCTGAAGGCTAAGGTAATATAGAACCTATAGGGATCTGCATCCCATACATCTGGATTCCTTCCTTTGTTGCTGTGTATACAGCACCATTCTGGGCAATTCGAAGCTGGTTACTGGGTGTCCAAGGTCCCCGGACACTAGTCCTCTGGTCACACTCCTTTTATATTAGTTGGAACTTCACTGGCTTCAGCTAAACACCTCTTTTTGATTTTTTAACCTGTCCCTGAATTGTGGTTGATATGCTAACAAAGGTAACAGGTAGTAAGTCTGCTCAGTGCCTGGAAAATGCATGGGTTGCCACCCTCAATCTGCGCTGGAGCAATGGAGGCATCCAGGATTCATGTAGTCTACTTTTTTTTTTTTTGCCTGTCTTGGTTAGCCAAAGGGGCATGACTTGTTCTCTCTTCACAAGGTGAATTTAGATGCAAGATAATAAGGAGTGATAAGGCTCACAAGAATGCTCACTTGAAGTAGCTCTTTCACCCCCTTCCCCCTCCCAGACTGTGCCCTCTTTAATGTTTCTGTGGTCTTCTTTTATAGCTCTGCTGCAGATTGGGATAATGGTTAGAGTTTGGGGGTGTCTGGGAAATTCAACCTCCTTGTTGAGAGCATTGTAGGAACTCAATGATGGGAGTTTCTGGTCAGCAATTAGGAGCAGACCCACTGGTTGTAGAAAGCCAATATTCCTAGAACTTTTGTAGGATAAACAGAAGAACATGAGCCAAAGCCTAATCTCCTCTGCCATTGTCTGAGAAACAGTGGAAACTGCCTTCTAAGGTCTGAACTCTCAAAGGTACAGTGCCTGGGCTTCTGTCTTGGTTCAGTTAGACGGTTACCTGGCTAGCTTCTTCCTTTCTTTTTCCTCCTCCTCTTCTTTCTGGGCAGATGTGAGGCTCTCGGCATCAGCCAGATTGTCCACAGCAATGGCCAAGAATACATTCAGTAAGATGTCTATTTTTTTTACATTAGTAAAGGAAATAGTCCTTGGAGTTGGAGTTCTTGGTGAGTGGAGACTAGGATAGTGGGTAGAGGCAATGGGAATACAGGAATGAGGTTTCTCTCACAGTGTTACAGCTGTTTAACACAGAAAGCCCACGGTAATGTCCTTAACAGTCTCTGGCTTCCACTCCAAGGGACCTGGCACCCAGCTATACCTACCTTGACAAATAGCTGCCTGGCCTCTACCCACTTTGAAAGACCTCAGAAGTGTGGTAGTCGGGCTAGTCTGTAGGCTTTTGAGGGTTAAAGTAGCAAGTCAACAATATACTCTTTAATCATTTCGTCTCAGTTTAGGTTGTCCAACTGGCTGCTAGTGATTCAGAGGATAGAATACTGGACTTGGATTCTAGAAGAGCCGAGTTTGAATTCTGCCTCAGACAGTCTCCTCATCTATAAAATGAGGATAATAATAGCACCTACCTCCTAGGGTTGTTGTGAGGATCCAGTGAGATCATACATGTGAAGTGCTTTACATACCTTAAAACGCTATAGAAATGCTAGCTATTATTATTTCCCCACTGAGATGACTGGTATAACGGACACTATATAAAATGTCATCATTAACAGTACATAGTTTCCTAAAAAGTTATTTTTAACTGAAGAGACCACCTGAAATACATCTCCCAACTCCTTTTACAATGTGAAATCTTAAGGGTGGAAAGTCAGGGGTCTGACAGTTCTGGAAGGCACTTTTTGCCTGATGGTGCATGGGAGAACGGCCCATTTTAACACCTTTCTACTCAAGGAGAAGGAGTGTCATTACTTAGCACCATTTCTGGAAACTCTGCCCCATGGCCTGGTTCATGGGGATGAAGAAGATGATGATAACAAAAACGGCTAGCATTCATAGAGCACTTGCTATGTGGCAGGCACTGTGCTAAATTCTTTACAAATGTTATCTTATTTGATTCTCATAACAACCTAGGTGTTATTATGATCCCTTATAGATGAGGAAACTGAGGCAAACAAAGATTAAGTTACTTACCCAAAGTCACACAGCTAGTAAGAGTCTGAGGCTGGATTTGACCCCAGGTCTTCTAGATTTTAAGTCCAGCACTCTATCTACTAAGCTGTCTAAATGCTAAGCCTTCGGGTGAAGATAGTTCAACCTTGCCAGTGACTAAAGTTACATGGAGTAGTTTCAGGGGTAAGAGCAATAAAAAGAACTAGTAAAACAAGTTGTGAGGGGAGTTGGTGGAACATTTATCATTAATTGAGTATCCTTGACAGCACAGCTCTGGCATAGAAGCTATGGATCAGTCAAGGCAAGTCGATTTGCACCCTCACCTAGTCTTCTAAGTTACCACCAAGGCATAGCTCCACTTGGCCTTTTGTTTAGGAAGTCCTTTCCTCTACCTGAGCTTTCTATAGCTCTATAGAACTATATATCTCAGTACTCTCTAGTACCCTACATTTGCTGGGCTTTGGTTTTAATTCCTTAACTGTAGGAAGACCAAGAGAGACAATGGTATAGAACTAGAAGGCCAAAAGTCCTGGGTAGCAAAGGTGCGTCCATTGGGCAATTTGAAAGGGTTTGGGGAACAGGGAGAGTGGAATTGTAGAGGCAGCAGCAAAGGATACAGTTTCCACAGATGAAAAGGATGATGAAGTAAATACAGACTAACATCCCTGGAAAAGAGGGCCCTCCATAAGCCATGATCCCATCATACATCACCGAATTCCAGTCCTCCCCGGTCAGGATCTGAATGATACATTCCCACCAACAAAGGACAGATACATCGTTAGACTGTGCAGACCAAACCCACAATCACTACCCTCCCTTCAACCTTTGCCTGTTAGAAAAGAGATACCTATCTATCATATCCCTGCCCTGACTGCCAATACTTCCCCAGTCCTTGAAGGAGCTATCCAAGGGGAGTGATGGGGGTTAAAAGTGGGTGATAAGTCCTTATGGCACAGCAAGAAATCTGAGCTCTGGATTCTGAATGACTGGTCCTATTCATAGGTGACCATTTTTATGCTAAGATTTAAAGGGTACCCTAATGGTTTCCCTGCCCCTAAACACTTCTCACATTGCCTGCCCCAAATGACCATCATAAGCCAGTCAAAGAATGATGGACCATGGAATACAACAACATTAAAACTTCCAACACTGAGACCAAGCTGTGCTGATCAAAGGCCAAGGCTGCTGACCTGTGTTCTAGCACACACTGGAAAATGTACTGGTGGTGGTAGGGGGGATTTATTCCTGATATTTATTTCCCAGATCCCTAGGCTATTTTCAAGGCAGGAGACGCATGGAATGCTCTATTCCCTTGGGCATAGTGATTTTTCTGCATCATTCTTTTTTTTTTTTTTGGTGAGGCAATCAGGGTTAAGTGACTTGCCCAGGGTCACACAGCTAGTCAAGTGTCTGAGTCTGGACTTGAACTCAGGTCCACCTGACTCCAAGGCCAGAGCTCTGTCCACTGAGCCATCTAGCTGCCCCCTCTGCATCATTCTTAAGGGAAGGCTGCTCTCCCCACTCCTTTTAGCTGAGTAGGGTCCCGCCCTTCATTTTCCCAGTTTGTGTGCCCTGACTGGGGCCTAGGACATTGGTTAGGGGCTGAGGATACAATTACTTTTTCTGTATCCCTAGGACCTTTGGGTTTCATTGTGAAGCCTCACTTTGGGCTTTGTTAAGGATGGCAGGTCAGCTTACCATAGTAGCTCATTATTGGGACCAAACTGCCCAGAAAAGGATTTAATTTAAATTTGTTTTGAGATCCCACCTTACTTAACAGCAAAAAGAAGAATGGGAAAATGATTACCTTGTGACAGATTATTTGAAATTTATATAGATTCTGACAGTGTTAGATCATGAGAGGGATCTAGAGATCATTTAGCACAGATCCCTTACTTCTGAGATGAAGAACTCAAACCCCAGAGAAGTGGGCTGACTGCTCATCAAGTTGATCTCATAGTAGCGTAGGATCCCAGAGATGGAAGGCAGGATTCTGACTTCCAGGCCAGTGCACTTTCTACTAAAAGGCATAGAAGTCCCCTTTTAAATTACAAATATGTTATCTTGGAAGGGTAGCACAACAGACCCTTATCAGTTTTTAACACACTAATAAGAATTAGTTTATAAGATTAATTTTAGTCATCCAGCAAAGTATGAGGCCCCAGGCCAATTTTGAGAAGAAGACAATTTGTTTATGATTAGGGCATTTTTTTGTGGGGGGGAAGTCAGACCTCAATGGATCACCACAATGGAGGTCTCTGGGCGTCTATAGCTTCTTGCATGAGAAAATGAGCCTAAAAGATGAGACAATGGGAAGGTAGTCATCATACCATGTTGATCACCCCAGACTCTCTGGGTTGAGTGGTTTAGAGGCTAGCTTGTCTAACCTGAACCCAAAACAACACTACAACCTACAACATACTCTGCTTTTTCTAGAAGCTCTGCAGTGAGGGGAAACAGCTGAGTCAGCCCATTCCACTTTTGTAGAGCTCTGATGTTCAGGAAGCTTTATTTTTTAAAATCAAGCCCAAATTGCTTTTTTTGCATCTTTCACTCATTGCTCTTTGTTCTGTCCTCAGAGGCAAAGAAGAGCAGGTTGAATCTTTTTCAGACATGAGAGACCTTCAAATATTTGAGGACTACTATTATTATCCTGCTAAGTCATCTCCTTCAATGGATCTCCATATAGATACAGTCTTGAGACCCTTTACCATCCTGGTCACCTTATTCTGAGCAGTCTCTAATTGATCAATGTCCTTCTTAATATCTGACACCCACAATTGAACCTGATGCTCTGATAGAAGCTTAACCAAGGCAGATTACATAGCAGGCCCAATCTTTTAGACCCATCTTAATGCAATCTGGGGTTGTTATATCACATTATTGACACTCATCTTGTATTCGACTAAAACAGAATCACAGAATTTTAGTTACAAGAGACCATAGCAGCCATCTAGTCCAACCCACATCTGAAAAGGAATAGTAAATATGATATATATTGCTTCAAAGCACTTTCTGTAAGGCCTTCCAACAGCCCTGTGAGGTGTGAATTCCGGGTTTTATTATCTCTATTATGTAGTTAAGTAAATTGAGTTTTAGAAAGGGTAAGTGATTTGCCCAAAGTCACATAGCGAATATGTGTCAGAGTCAGCACTGGGACACAGGCCTTCCTGACTTAAAATTTAGTAAAGTACTCATTCTGCTCTACAAACTAGCATTGCCTACGTTTCCATTTTGACTAGATTTGATCTATGGCATTCTTGAAGAGAGCATGGGCCAAGGGGTCTACTAACTATTGATGAGAGTAGTGGAGAAGGAGACAGTCTCAAGTATTAGTAGGTGACCATTATATTCAAAGACTTGCAGTGCTACTGCTGTGTGACAATGTGCAGATAGGGACAACAAAGATTCCTGGAGCTTTGAGGTCCTTAGCATTCTGTCCTGAGATGGCATAGAGGATCCCAAAGGCCCAGTACTCAGAAACTCTAAGATTGGTTCCAGGAGGTAACTTCAGAAGGTGGAGGTTAGCACACAAAACCAGGCAACCCACGTCAATACCAAGCAAAGTTGATTACCACACTCTAAAGAATAGCAAGGTGTGGTGGCTGGCCCAGGCCCAAAGCATCAATTGGGAAAACAAATCTAGAGAGATGAATAAACCAAAGAACATATGGGCTAGTATGAAAAAAATGTTGCAGATCTAGAGATGCCCCCAAATCCAGCCTAGAAGGAAAAAGTAATTCCATAATAACTGCAAATAGGAAGTCAAAGAAAAAAATATATTTTCTATACGTAATACCTGAATATCTAGAAGAAATGAAGTAAGAGAAAAAAATGAAGTAAGAGCTCTGGAGGAAAGAATTGGAATGAGAATAAATAGATCAGAAGATAAAGCAGTAAAGCTTAGTTAAATAATGGACTCCCTGAAAACTATAAAAGACCAAACAGTAATCAATGACTCCACGATAAAGCAGGGAATTTTAGAACAGAATAAAGAGATTGGAAAAAGTAGGATAATATATAAGATATTTGATATAAAAAAACAACTGACCCAGAAAGCAAGTCAAAGAAAGTTAATGTAAGAATCATTGAACTCACTGAAAACCATGATTAAAAAATCCTGGACATGGTATTTCAAGAAATCATAAATGATAACTGTTTAGATCTATTTAGAATCAGAAGGCAAAGTAAAGATAGAAAAATTCACCAATTATCTCCTCAAAAATAGAAGTCTAAGGAATATCATAGACAAAAAAAAATACTTCAAACATACAGAAAGAAGCGGGACAAGTACCAATGAGCCATGTCAGTATCACAAAAGATTTGGCAACTGTTACTATAAACAAGGAGAGATCTTGGAGTATTCCAAAAGGCAAAAGAGAGAACCTTACAACCAAGAATAAATTACACTTCAAAAGTGAATATATAGGGGAAAATAGACCTTTAATGGAATAGAGGATTTTTAAGTATATCTGATGAAAAGACTAGAACTGAGTAGGAACTTTGAAATACAAATACAAGAACCAAGGGAAACCTAGAAAGGTCCATTAATTTGAATAGCTGTAAGGGGCCGTGGCATGATGCAGTGCTAACATTCTAATAGGGAGAAAAAATAGGTGTCCTTTCAGAACTTTCATGTCTTCAAAAATATTGAGGAAGTTAAATAAGATAAACAGAGGTCCCATGGGTGGATTGGTTTTGTTCTAAGAGTTTTATGTGGGGAAAGAGAAGGGAAGGCAAAAGGAAGACTATATTAGTGTGGAAGGGAGAAAGAAGGGGGAGTGGAACTTCCTATTTCTCATAAGTAGGATGTGTGAGAAGAATAGTATACAAACATGGAGACATGAGATACACGTGAAAAAAGAGCAAACACACACAAACAGTTTGGTGTGAAATATATTACATTTAACAAAGAAACAAGTAGGGATGATGGGGAAGAAGTTAAGTTGTTCAGTCATGTCTAACTCTTTATGACCTTGTGGACCATAGCATACAAATACTGTCCATGGGGTTTTCTTGGCAAAGATACTGGAGTGGTTTGTCATTTCCTTCTCCAGTGGATTAAAGCAAACAGAAATTAAGTGACTTGTCCAGGGTAGCTAGTAAGTGTCTGAGGACACATTTGAACTCAGGTCTTCCTGACTCCAAGTCCATGTCTCTATCCACTGAGCCACCTAGCTGCCTCTAAGAGGGAGAGAATCTTCACAAGAAAAATAAACTTTCTGATCCTGAAAGGGGGGAAGGAGATATTGAAAAGAAAAAAAAAAGATCAAAGCAAAGAGCTAGAATCTAAAGGACTGTCAATCAGTTGGGAATAGCTGAAAAACTGCAGTATATAAATGTAATGGAATATTATTGGTCCATAAGAAATGATGAAGGGGACAATTTAAGAGAAACCTAGGTAGTGTGGATTGATGTTGAATGAAGAGAGCAGAACCAGGAGAACAATTTATTCAAGGACAACAACATGGTAAAGGAAAACAACTTTTAAATGCTCTAATCAATAAAATGACCACAAATGTCTTCAAAGGATCAGATGACCTGTGAAGAAACATGTTACCCAACTCCGGAAAAAGAGACAAAGAACTCCAGGTGTGGAATGAGTTTGGGTTTTTTTGTACTTTTTTTTTTTTTGCATATGGCCACTGTGTGGATTCCTTTTGCATGATAATGATAATTTGTTACAAGTTTGTTTTCTTCCCCCTCTCTCAGGCTTCATTTGGAGAGAGAAGGGGAGGTTAAGAACAGTAAAGTTTTAAAAAAAAGAAGTTTTAGAAATACACAGGAGAAAACAGGAGGTTCCAAAATAGCACAGACAGAACAATTTTGAAAGTAGCATGTGGAATCTATTATTATTTTTAAAAGCAAGAGGTATGAAATAAATATTAATGGTTTTATATATTATCATCTTTCTGTGTTCTGCTATGTATATGAAAATGCTCATTTTGGGAGGTATTTAAAATTAGACTAAAAATAAATTTAAAGAGAAAGATTTTTATAGAATAGAAAAGGTACTATAGCATAGTTGTATTCAAGTATTTGAAGGGCTGTCACATGGAAAAGGGATTAGACTTGTTATATCCTCACAGGGCAGATTAGAAGCAATGGGTAGAACTTACAAAGATACAAGTATATTTCATCTTGGTGCTAGGAAAACTTTCCTAGTAATTACAGTTGTGCAAAAAATTACAGTTCTCCACCTCAGCAGTTAGTGGGTGAGTCTTCAAAGCAGAGTCTAGATGGCCATTTATCAACTTTGCTGCAACAGAGATTCCTTTCCAGTATGGATGAGAGCAGATGGCTGCTGAAATCCTCTCCATTTCTAAAATTCTACGATTCTGTGACTGACTAGAGAAGGGTAAATGAACTGGATTTCAGAAAAAGGGAATAACTACAGACCAGTGAATTTGACTTTTATTCCTGGTAAAATTTTAGAACATATTATTAAAGGGATAGTTAGTGAATGTCTAGAAAAGGAAGTAGTGATAGTTTCATCACACCAGACTCATCTCATTTCCTTTTCTAGAACAGATTAATATAATGGGAGTCTTTTAAAATTTCCTTATATTTTTCTGCTGAGTTATCTTCAAAGTCACGAGAACTCCCAAAGTGGAAAACTCTACTGTAGCACTAACCAATTTCTGTATAAATTGTTCTAAGCTAAAAAGGTTCTAGGCTTTATGCTAAAAACCTGAATGGACAAGTTTGAGCATTTATTCAAGGGCAGAAGACCACTCTAAGAGGTACTTTGATGTGATAAAAGTAAAAAAAAAACCTTTATGCTCTTCTCTGATGATGATTTTATTCTCCTTGCATATTTTAGATCTTCTTACCTTCTCTCCAAACAACTTCTTATTGCATTTCAGACTCACCTGGTCCTAGACCCACATTTTGCTGAGTTTTAGAAACCAGAATATTGAATGGAGTTCCTTTCCGGGAGGTCTCTATTAAATTTTCCCAGAAATAAGTTTTACAAACAGAAGTAGATAAGGGAAAAGCCCTTCCTGATTGTAACCTCCCTTTTTCTTAAGAGTAACAGTGAAAAATCTCATGTTAAGGCTGACATTTATCTTTATATCCTGTTTTAATCAATTAATTACATTATTGAAATATTTGGGTAAATGAGGTTTCTGAGCCTTTACTTATATACATATTAAATTCTTAAATTCTCAGTCACTTTCTCCACTCTAAGATAATCACTTGAAGAAAAACTACCCACTAAGAGAATCACTTATCCTCAAATGGTTAGGTGACTATTAAGTTATTTGGGAGTCCAAAGTTTGCTTCTTCTCATGAAGAACTTAACAGAGGTACTTGGTAGTAAATAAAAAAATGCATATTTGCACCTTCCTGACTTTCTCTAAGTCAAAAATGGTATTGCCTTATCCCTATATATTTGCCCTGGCTAAAGGTTATATTTTCCCTTCCCTCCATTGGAAGTGGAATCTTGCCACCCTTTTCCTTGGGGAGATCCTCCCTGATAGAAAGAGCCTACATATATGTAAGAATCCTTGTGCTTTCTTTATGTTTTCTTTACAAAGTTTCTCTCTCTCTCTCTCTCTCTCTCTCTCTCTCTTCTCTCTCTCTCTCTCTCTCTCTCTCTCTCTCTGTCTCTCCCCTCCCCCCCTGCCCGCCCTTAAACTAGCCTGGCACAAAGTGCAAGAGAAACAAACTTTTGAGCTCTTTTTCCTTAGAAATAGATCTTACTTGTAATTTTTAAAGGAGATGGACAAATTCCTCACTAAATACTGCACCGATGAATTCCTTTATGCTATAGTCTCTAAATGCCTTTATCCTCAACTCTCTACATGATTTTAGTTAGGAAAACAGTTGTACCAGAATTAGAAAATGCATACACACATATACTTTGGCACTTTGCTTCTGTTAAAGTATCCCAGAGGCATTTTGTTCATTATTGTCCTTGAATTCCTAAGGCTAAGGGGCCCCTCCTTTTCTACAAAAGTTATAAATCAGTAGACAGTGTGGTCATCTGAAGAATCCTCCTCCTTAAAGACTCAAGTCCAAGGTCCATGAAAATAAGGAATATAGGCCACGCAAGGAGGTGATATGGTAGGACCAACAGAGAGCCAAAAACTAGAGGTTCAGTAGGCCAGAAAGCCCATAACCCATACTGGAAATGGTTAGGGGCCCTGACTGTCATTTTCCTGTATGTTTCTGTAAGACCAAGGCCAAGCCCTCCATACTCCCATACCCAAAATATTCTTCCAACAAATGTTTCTTCAGAGGTATAATACACTGTCTTTCATTTTTTCTAGTGTGGCCACGGACACATCACACAACACACACACATACACACTCACACACAGAGTCACCAATTTAGAAGGCAGTTATTCTTAAATAGTGGGGAAAGGAGACAAAAGAGATAGATCATTTCTTTTGCCTGAAATAACTCCCCAATCCCACAAAAACAGTTATTTGACTCATAGATTAGGGGAATATTATTGATATAGTTTTCTTTAATTTTAGTAAAGCATTTGACAAACTCTCTCATGCTCTCCTTAGAGTTGATGGAAAGATGTAGCCTGGACAATAAATATACAATTTAAGTGGATTTAGAGCTGATTGAGGGGCTGGATCTAGAGCACTGACATTCAACTTGGAATAAGTGCGTTTGTGGCTTACCTAAGGGATTTCTCCTTGGCTCTGTCCTGTTTAATATTTTTATCAATGATTTGGATAAAGATATAGATGGCATATTTGTCAGACTTGTAAATGATACAAACCTGGGAGGGATAGTTAGTACTTTGCATGATGGAATCTGAGGCCAAGAATATTTCAATTATCTAGAGCATAGGGCTGAGTCTAATAAGATGAAATTTAACAGTAATAAATATAAAGCCTGATACTTAGCTTCCAAAAATCAGCATCACAAATACTAGGTGTGGGAGGCTTGGCTACATTTCACCTTATCTGAAATAGATATTGGGGCTTTCAGTGGATCAGTATGACCCACAGTGTGATATGGCTAATACAATATTACATTATGTTAAGAGGCATAGCATTCAGGACAGGGAAATGATAATTATGCTATACTCTGCCCCCGCAGACCACATTTACAATATTGGTTCAATTCTGGCGTCATATTTTTAGAAAGAACATCGACAAGCTGGAAAGCATTCAGAGGAAGGTGACCAGAATGGTAAAGGCAGTCAAGATTACGCCACATACGGTATGGCTGGAGGAATTGGAGCTTAGAGAAGAGAAAATATGATCTAAGAGACAATAATAGCTCTCTTCTAGAATCTGAAGGGCTGTTATATGTGTGAGGACAAGGATCATTCTCCACGGCCTCAGAGAACAAAATGTTTTAGAGAGGCAGGCTTGGGTTTGCTATGAGAAAAAAATACCTAAAAATAAGAGATAATAAAAAATGCAATGAGCTGCTTCAAAGATAATGAATGGGTTGCTTTTCACTAGAGGTTTTTAAGCAAAGGCTGGCTGACTGCTTGTTGGTTCATTAGAGAAGTGGTCCTTTCTCATTCTGCAATTCTGTGATTCTGTGACTCCATAAAAACAGGGACTAAGACTTATCTAAGTTTTGTAGCACCTAATACTGTGCTTACACAGAGTAACTACTTGATAAATGTCTACTGGATTGAAATGAGCAGCATGGTATATAGTAGAAAGTTTTTTTGTATCTGGAATCAGAAAATCTGGGTTTGAATCTTTGAAGTATCAGTTTCTTCACTGATACAATGAGAGGTTGGAGTAGATGACCTCTACAATACAATTCATGCACAAGTCAAGACATCACCCTCATGATGTCACTGGTCCTCTTTGAGGTTGAAGGACAAATAACAACAATCTTTTCTAGAGCTAAAGTCCTATGAAACCATTATCCTGTGAACTGATGAGAGCAGAAGGTAAGAGAGACACAGAAGACAATGGGTGCCTGAAGCATTGGTACATGTTCAGAACATAATTAGAATAAGCCTTGCCTAAACCTCATGTATCTTAATGTCATGGGCCTGTCCAGATACTCAGGTCATTTATCTCGTACTCATTGTTTTTTACTTATATGTTTAAATTGACACAAGGCAAGACTCATGGATCACTTGGGAATTGTAGGGGGCATTTTCTAAAGTCTGAAGATCCCTTTCAGGGGGAGTCTTTGGATCCTTTCTCCAGCAATGATATATCTCCAGTCAAATTTCAATCTGGAATAAGAATGGAGTACATACCAACTATATACCATAGAAGAGGAAAAGTGAGTGAGAAAGAACACTGATGGGACATATAGGCAATGATTGAAAAACTGTCATGCTATTTTATGCATTGGAATTAGTTTAAATATAAATAATCACTTAGTTGGTTGTATTGCCATTCACTGCTAAGTTTTTAATAAAACATTTAATAAAAAGCATTCTTATTTAAGCTCAACTTCCCCCCTAAAAAAAATTCCCAAGGCTTAAAAGAACCTTGGAAGAACACCTAATCCAGCCCCTTGCTTCTAGGGGGGATACAGATGACCTTGATCCTCTCTTCTGGGGCCTTTGCATCCTTTCCAAAGTCTAGGCTCAGACTAGCATTATGACAGGGTGGAATTCTCCACTGGAAGGGTTCAAGGCACCATTTGCCCTTCCTATCATTGCCTACTGATTCTCCCCACTTTAACCTCAGTGGATGAGGGCTTGTACCTGAAACACAGTGAGAAGAGACTGGGGGAAATTATCAAATGTGCTCCTCCGGGTCTGCATCTCGTCAAAGTTGAACTTTCCACCAAAGAGCTGCATCCCCAGGAGAGAGAAGATGATGATGAAAAGAAAAAGGAGCAGCAGGAGTGAGGCAATTGATCGCACTGAATTCAGTAATGATGCTACCAGGTTGCTCAAGGAGTTCCAATACCTAAGAATAAAGAAAAGAGAGGTTAAAATCTTTCTTCTTTTGCCTCCCCTAATGCTTGTCCAATACCACCCTCTCCACTCCAGATTTTGACCATACATAATAATTTTGGCAGATACCATAGAGGCCATGAGACAAATATATTTCCTCCACATTCATCTCCAAGATATGAGGCAAAAGGGTACAGGGGAAAGTATGCTTTGAGTGAATAAATAAATGAATGAATGAAAAAAAAGCATTTTTAAGTGTTCACTATAAGCCAGACACTTTGGTGGAGGCTGCAAGTATTAAAAAAAAAAAAGAGACAGCCCCTGCTGTCAAGGAGCTTAACTTCTAATAGGGGAAGACAATACATATGGGGGAGTAATGACCAGGGAAGGGTGTTCTAGAGTCAGAAGACCTGGGTTCCAATCCTGGCTCTACCGTTTACTACCTGTCTGACTTGGGCAAGTCATTTAACATCTCTGCACCTCACTTTCCTCATACGCAAAATGAAGTGGCTGGACTACATGAGTTTCTTCTAGCTCTCAATCTTGACAGTTGGTTAGGGCATAGTGCTAATGAATCCAAGGATTCTAGATCAATTCCTATACAGAACATTAAGCTTTATACAAAGAAAAACTCTGTTCAGTGGTTGAAGAATGTATCCCTTAGCCCAGCCTGCTGTCTCAAAAATATGCACTACCAGTCACATGAGCCCAAGAGAGTATGGATGGGTTAGTATTATAAGTCTACCATGCCTACAGGAAATGAAACTCAGAGCCCATGTCATATTACAAAAACAACACATTTCAGGAAATTAAGCTCTATCCTGACTTGTGTGGCTTGTGTGTTTGCCTTTCGTTCTTGAAGAGGATCATGACATCAGGAAGATAATGCTATGACTTGCAAGTGAATTGGATTTAAGTGGGGGAGGGCTGTACAAAGTCACCAGCCTCACTTTCTCCTCCAGAGCCATCTGGGACCAGTGGCTAAATATCAATCAGGATGACTGGAGATGCCCCAGGATGCAGTGGGAGACTTTGGTCCTTTTAAGCTTAAGGTCTTTTCAGGTTCTTACTCTGAGTGAGGCAATGCCCATTCAGTGAAGAAGCCTCTTTAAGAAGTGAGGCAAGGGGACTTCTGCTTCTGCGAGCTAAGATGGGGGAGTAAAATGGTGGTCGCTCTCACTCTCTCCTCTCAACCTCTGAAAACCCAGAAAATATCACCCTAGGAAAAAAAACCCTGAAACACCTGAACTAGAAGAAAGAGCAGCAGTGCAGCAGCCCAGCAAATGGGTCTCCCAGTGCCTCAGCAAAAATAAGGGAAGCAGCACTACAAAAAGACCCAGATGGATAAGTACTCTACAGCACTCATCTGAAAAGAGCTGAAGAAAGCAACCTAAAGTCTTCCTAAAGTCTGAGCCTTGCTGATTCCAGCCCAACATCAGGTAAGCTGTCAGAACCTCCAACTGTCAACCAGGAAGAGATCCTGAAGCCCAGGTGGAAGAGCAGGCAAACACCAACACCTGGACCTCCAAGTGTCTCAGTGAGGGCAGGGGGAACCAGTGGAAACCAGCTCAGAAAAACACCAGTTGAATTGGCACTCTACCACAAAGGAATCTCCCAGTGTATTAGCAGAAACAAGGGCAGCAGCATTGCAAGAGGCCCCAGGCAGATAAACCCCCTGCAGCACCCATCTAAAAGGAGCTGAAGAAAGCTAAAGGAAAGGAAAAGCAGGCAATCTAGAATTGCCTGAAAGTTCCAGCCTTGCTGATTCCAGCCCAACACGAGGTAAGCTGCCAAAACCCTACAGCCTCCAATTGCCAACATAAGAGGCCCCAGCACACAAAGCCAGTGACCAAGACATAGGCTTCCACCACAAGAAGCTTGGGTTAGTGCCCTCTGTGCCCCAGCAGGAGAGCTCAATCTCTTTAAAGGCCAGGGAATAAAGAAACCATGAGTAAAAAGATTGATTCATATTATGAGAAGAGTGGAAATCAAGACAGAAATTCTGAAGAGGACAGCATTGTCAACAAACCCACATCTGCAACTTTAAAAAGGAATATGAACTGGTCTGAAGCCCAAAAAGCCTTCTTAGAAGAGCTCAAGAAGGATTTTAAAAGTCAATGAGAGAGGTAGAAGAGTCCTTAAAAAATACAATTGGCCAATTGGAAAAAAAGTACACTGAAGAAAACAAGTCCCTAAAAAACACAATTGGCAAACTGGAAAAAAAGTACACTGAAGAAAACAAATCCCTTAAAAATACAATTGGCCAATTGAAGAAGGAAGTACAAAAACTAACAGAAGAAAACAATCTGTTAAAAACTAGAATTGGACAAATGGAAACTAATGACTCTATGAGAGAGCAAGAATCAGTCAAACACAAGCAAAAAAAATGAAAAAATAGATGAAAACTTAAAATACCTCATCGGTAAAACAACCGACCTGGAAAATCAGTCCAGGACAGACAATTTAAAAATCATTGGACTACTTGAAAATCATGATGAAAAAAAAGAACCTGGACAGTATCTTCCAGGAAATCATAAAGGAAAACTGCCCTGAAGTCCTAGAACCAGAAGGTAAAATAACCATAGAAAGAATACACCGCTCACCACCTGAAAGAGATCCAAATTGACAATGCCAAGGAATATAATAGCAAAATTCCAAAATTACCAGATGAAAGAGAAGGTGCTGCAAGCAGCCAGAAAGAAACAATTTAAATATCATGGAATCATAGTCAGGATTACACAGGACCTTGCAGCTTCTACATTAAAAGACCGCAGGGCATGGAACATGATATTCCATAAGGCAAAGGAGCTTGGATTGCAGCCAAGGATCAACTACCCTGCAAAAATGAGCATGATTTTTCAAGGGAGGAGATGGATATTCAATGAAATAGGGGACTTCCAAACCTTCCTCATAAAAAGACCAGAGCTCAACAAAAAATTTGATCTTCAAGTCCAAATTCAAGTAAGACATAAAAAGGTAAATGGGACAGAAAGATAAAAATGTAAATAAGGGCAGAGTGTTTACATCCCTACAAGGGAAGATGACACTTGCAACTCTTGAGAACTGTATTGTTATTACACCATGTTAAAGGAGTATACATAAAGGGGTGGATATTAGTTGACTTTGATGTAATGATAAAAAAAATCTAATCAAGTGGGTTAAATGGATCCAAGTAAGTGGATTAGTCTGATCTTAGAAAATGTACTGAGAAAGGAGGAGGCAGACAAGGGTAAATTACATTACAGGAAAAGACAGAAAATCCTATTACAGCAGAGGGAAAGAAGGGAGGGGTGAGCATTGTTTGAACCTTGCTCTCATCAGATTTGGCTCAAGAAGGGAATAACAATCAGTTAGGTATGGAAATCTAACTTGCCCTACGGGCAGTAGGAGGGAAAAGGGGAAAGAAAAGGGAGGGGGGATGGAAGGGAGGGAAGAAGTGAAGGGGAAGAGGGGGAAGGAGGAAAATAGAAGGGAGGAGAGACTGAAGGAGGTGGTGTTCAAAAACAAAGTACCGGTGGGGGGGAAGGGAGAGAGGAGAAAGAAAAGCATAAATGGGGGGAAAAGGATGGAGAAAAAGACACAGATAGTAATCATAACTGTGAAAGTTGAATTGCTATCTTTTTTTTCTCTTCTGTTGAGTTTTGTTTCTTCTTTCTGATGGTTCCTCCTATTGGTTTAATTTTTACTTACAACTTCACTAATGTGAAAATATGTTTAATAGGAATGTAAATGTATAGCCTATATCAGATTGTGCACCGTTTTGGGGAAGGAGGTGGGGAGGACGGGGGAGAAAAATGTTAAACTCAAAAGCATATGGAAGTGATTGTTGATAAATCAAAATCAATTTAAAATATGCAAAAAAAAAGTGAGGCAAGGGATGGCCCTTTAAAAAAAATCAAACTGGGAGGGGAAGACTCTCTGCCTGCTGGTCAAAAGAGAAACAGTTACTGTTTACATTGACTCTGAGCCAAGAGGTCCCAAAAATAACCATTAAGTGGTGCTTGGTATGTTTGTATGGGAAGCAGCAGAAGTTCTGATTTTCCTATAATCACTGACCTTCGTTGTACTCTCTTCTATCCAGACTGAGGACAATAGTTTCCTTTGTCTGGAATGTGTATTAATGGCCAGATTGATACCTGAAGCCTGAAGGAGTGAGTTGAACTAGGATTATTGGGTGATAGAATCAGAGTTGGAAGGTACTTTATAAGGTCAGTGAATGCCCCCTTCCTCCATTTTACAGATGAGAAAATTGAAGCAAATAGAGGTCAAGTGACTTGCCCAGGGACATTCATCTAGTAAATGTCCGAGGTGGATTTGGACCCAGGTCTTTTTTGACTCTGTGAACTCCCTCATCAGGCCCTAGCACCTCCTTGAATGGTGTCTCATCACTGGCTCATCTCAGGATGTAGCAAAAGAGCTGTTTCTTAGTCTAGAAAAATATCCCTTCCACTATTGCTCTGCCATCCCAGATACCCCTCCTTTTGCTTCTCCTCAATCATTATGTTTGCTTAGCTCCCCCTACTGAAGCCATCCCTGTCCATTACTTATAGGTGGTAATTTGCTTTTGCTGCTTCAATGAACAACATGTTAAATGTCCTCATTACAACCCTCCCAGCTGCTCGGCCAGCCCTGGCACCTCTCTCCAGAGTGCATAGCTACATATTCGGTGACAGGAACAGATGGACAACAGTTTGGGTTTAAAACACAAACTATCTCACAGCATGGAGCTCTCTCTTCTGTCTTGACCCTCCCTCAACTGGGGGTCCCTCAACTTTCTTCCTTGCTTCATTTTCACTTCTCAGTACTTCAGTTTGCTGTTTACATGGTTTTAATTTGTGCGTTTTTCCCCCCTTTGTGTCTTGTTTTGTAAATGTTCTTAGGTCTTTTTCATGCATCATTGCCTTCCCAATGAAATCACAGGCTTCCTGCAGAGGCAGTGTGGAAAGCTCAGTCAGTAAATCTGGGTTCAACACCACGCCCCCCCCCCAACTCCTATGATGGTGTGACCTTGGG